TATTTTTCCTAGCGGTTTTCCATGTTATCTACAGCGCCATAACCATGATGCTTGGGCGATTAAAGGTTAAATTAAACCAATATATGACCTTGATCTTGAGCTCTCACAATTAGCTTTTGGGTAGGAGCTAAAATTCGGTGTTAATTTTTTTTGTGCTAGATTCGTGGGTGGAAGGAATGGGAAACTATAGGTGCCCAGGAGCACGAACATTTGAATGGTAAAAACTCTTCTTCTGTAAGAACTTGATGCTTACATACGTCAATCAAATATGATACTTATTCACATCAATCAATCGCGCCATACGTACGAGTATTATACCTCATTTTGATTATCATTCACGCAGATCCAACGAGATTCAGGCTTACTCATGAGACATCCTTTGTTAAATCCCACACTAGCTTTTGGACCAAAACGCCAGTATCCTTCTATGTGGTAAGGAACTTATTCAAAAAGGGGACTTCTGCTTCTGCACAATTTCAATGGTGGAAGAAAAAAATAAAATCAACTGGTGTTTTGCTGTGCTGTGTAGGTATGCTTCTTCAGGCAGTTCTTTAGGTCTGTCAGCAGAGCCGACTACTTGACAATGCGCCACGGCTTCATCTCTGTGAGTTAAATCGAAGGAATTGCAGGTTTTAAAAACTTGCTGAGACATGTTTGTTGTTGAAGTCATTGAACGATGGAGTGAAACTGATCTGGTGCAGGTTCATTTGGCACCTGGGACTAAGTTTGATTTCCAAAAGTACATCAAGAGATCTCTGGAAGATGATTTCAAGGTGGTTGTGGGAATCAGGTTGGTAAAATTAGCTTCTTGTTTTGGTTTCTAATATTTCTTCCGTTCTAAACTGAAACTTCTGTTTGTGTGGCAGTCCACTGTTATGGGCTTCTGTGGTTTTGTTCATGCTTCTGAATGTTCATGGTCAGTGAAAGTTCTTTCATTCAGTCACTTCACATCATTTCAACTCATTCTCCATTTCTTAACCTTTTCAAACACCTTTTTTTCAGGATGGCATGTGATGTTCTACTTTTCTTTGCTTCCAGTAGTTGTAAGGACCTCTCTCCTTGTAATCTTTTGCTAGACTAAGTTGATGATGGACAAAGTAGAACCCAAGACTTTGAGTAACTAGAAGAAGGTATTGATTGTGGATATTTTGGTGTTTGTGAAGGTGATATTGGCAGTTGGAACAAAGCTTCAAGCAATCATAACGGAGATGGCGATTGAGATCACGGAAAGGCATGCTGTGGTACAAGGGATTCCCCTTGTGCAGGTCTCTGACAGACATTTTTGGTTCAGTTGGCCTCAGTTGGTCCTCTACCTCATCCACTTTACTCTGTTCCAGAATGCGCTTGAGCTCACTTATTCCTTTTGGATATGGGTAAGATTTGAATTGAAGCAATGCTCGAAATCATCTTGGGGGTTTTCTTACCCTTCCTTATTATCTTGCAGTATGAGTTTGGGTGGGATTCTTGCTTCCACGAACACCTTGTAATCCCAGTGATCAGAGTTACTATCGGGTAAAACAAACAATTAAAAGCCTAAACCCATCTTTCAATATGATTCAGCTGATGTATATATAGGTAGAGAGTTAGCCAATGATAGAGAGATGAATAGATAAGCTAAACTTGTTGATAGTCTGACAAATGTGAAGTTTATAAACAGGATTGGAGCTCAATTTCTATGTAGTTACATCACGCTCCCTCTTTACGCCCTTGTCACTCAGGTTCTAATCAAATTGAAAATGACCATAATATAATTTCAATATTCATAATTGATATAACAATATGATATCTTGTTCTTTTTTTTTTAGATGGGTTCGACAATGAAACGATCGATCTTCGACGAGCAAACATCAAAGGCATTGATGCAATGGCACAAAAAAGCCCACAAGAAGGCGCACGATGGGAAATCTGATCATCCGCACCACAAGGAGAACTCAGAAGACGATGGACACACCCATGATGGAATTCATCACCGAAGTCATACAGCAGGGGATGACACAGATGGCACATCGGCCAACATCATGGCGACAGTGGATATTAATGGGGGCCAACATGGTCAACGTGATCTTTTGAGTTAGATACAATAACTTTTTTTTCTTTGGTTTGATTCGTGCATATCTTATGTTTGGTCATAGCGTATAGGACATGTCCTTCGACTGACTCTAATTCATTGTTGTTGTTGATGGTAAACTTAAGGAGATAATAGTGTTGTTGTAGATTGTTAATTCTATGATGGTGTATGTAGTAATGTATTGAATAAACCTACTTTTACAGTAAAGTTTAAAGAAAGGTATTAAGTATGAAGGCATTAAGTAGTTTTTGGCTGGAATAGTATTTGCATTGCTTTAAATGGTAGAGTTGAATTATATCTTAAATCAATTCGTGCAAGAAAATTCTATACTTGGTGGTGGAGATTAATGTACTTTATATACAATCATAACATAAATTTCAAACTCATTTGCTTACTATGAAAAAATCTGGAAATCACGCAATACAATAGTTTCAAGGTTACTCAACTAATGCCACAGGCCATGATCCTCACTACTCAATTCGCTCATCAAGTCGAAGAATTCTCGTCTGCCAATCCTTTTCTTCTTCCTCCACCACTTATGGCCCTCCTTACAATGCCTCCAACCTAGTCTCCTTCGCCACCTGATCGCTCCAAACTCTACTTCAACTCAACTGATCATCCTTACTGACATTGTGCTATTAGTTTGGTGACAAAGTTCGCAAATGAACATCTGCACTTCACCATTGGTGTTTAGCATCTTATGATTGCTCACCCGTAAGGCCGTAACTACCCATACTGCTAGTTTCTCGAGATGGTCTACTCTTGATTCGTAACATCGACCTCCTTTGTGTCACACTGGAAGGACATTCTAAAGTCGACATTCGTCAACTTCTCAGAGGGATATAGTCAAATTCATTTGGAGGGCCAATTTTCAGAGACTAACGTTAGATGATCGTTGTTCTAACCATACACTTAGAGGTTTGGGTGGTCCCTACCTCCCTAAGACTACCTGGTTTAGAATTGCCTCATTAAATTTTGTTACTAACACTACAAAAAAGACTGGCAGATGTTACCAGACAATTGGCATCAAAAAAGGCCTTTTCTCGTCACAATAGGGTTATTTTGACGAAATACAGTCGTTGGTGGGTCGTGGGGTAAAGGTCCCTCGCTAATAGTTTAAATATATTTGCGTCAGAAAATCATACATTTGTGACAATTATTTTTTGTCATTATGCAAAATATCGTGATCGGAAAAGAAATGTACTTAACGAAATTGTTTGACCAAATATATTTTTAAGGGATAAAATATTTTTTGTGAGGAGTACATTTTGTTAGATAAACTATAATTGAGGAAACTGTGTTTGTTAGTAAATAAAAAATTCGTTAGTAAAAAAATGACATTTTTTTCTGAAAATACCCTTTGATCGTTTTGACCACAGTTGTTTGTCGTAAAAGAACATTTTTGCGAGGGTTAATTATGTTCCTAAATTACCCCTGTGATATTTATAATGAATATCTTGCGTCACTAAAAACTATTCCTAATAATTGTAAATTTAGTTTCCAACGAGAAAATAAGGTCAGAAGAAAATATCGAATATTTGTGATGCAAAAGTTTCGTAGGAAGAAACTAATTAATTTAGACCAACTTTTGTGTTCATGTAACCAGATTGTTGCGTTAAAAATAAGATATTTGTCACACAAAATATACGTCGGCATAAACATATTAAATCTAACCAAATTGTTGTGTTAAAAAGAATATTTTTAACATGCATTACAAATAGAATACTTGCAACACAAAATATTTGTGGGAAGCAACTCGACAATTGTAACCGAATTTAGTGTTACTGTAACCAAATTATATCGTTAAAACTACAATTTTTTTCCAATTTTGTAAATATATTTACTATATATTATTAGTGATGAAAACTGAGAAATAATAATAATACATTTTATTTTGCATGTAATTTATTAAAAGCATAAAAGAAATTAACCAATGCAATATATTAGCAAAAAATGAAAATTCTCCATAAAATTAGGTGGCCTAACCACCAAAACTGTCTTAAAAGGAGACCACATTCAACACTTGTTCAAACATAAAACAAAACAACCAAACACTTTTTCAATCATAAAACAAAACAACCAAACACTTAACAAAACAAAACATAAACATAAACATAATCCGATTGAAAAATGGAACTTGCAAAGTTCCTAAGACTGCCTTCTTCCTAGCTGCAAACTTCCGATTGAAAATTGGAACTTGCAAAGTTCCTACTGCTGCTTTCTTCCAAGCGCTGCAAACTTAGTAATCATCATCATCAGGGGGAGCTGTTCTCATCGTCAATACCATCCGCATCTTCATCATTCACTTCCTCGTCTCCATCTTCATCTTCATCATTCACCCCCTTGTCTCCAGCCTAATTTACAAAGTTAAATAGATTATGATAAGTTCATACGATTAATCATGCTCAACCAACTAAAAAAACAGCAACAAACACTTACCATTGAGGACTCTGCCAAATTAACTCCTAGCCTCTTCAATGTATCCTCGACAATCTGAGGAATTCCATTCTTCACCTGCACTAGCTCTTCTTTCAGCATTCTTATCATCTCATCATTCTTCACCTTCTCTTGCCTTCGGTCCTCTTCACACCTTTTGCTGCAGCCCTGACCGGAGGTAGGGCAAAAAACATCCACACCGGTTACCCCATAACCCATTCCCAACACACGTTTCCTAGGCTGTTTTCCTACAACCTCACCATAAATCGCAAACTGGTTCACCTCTTCCCCTTGACTCAACTTCTCAGCTTCCTTATTCTTCAATTCAGCCTACACACATAGTAATTAATAACTAACACGCTGAGTTTAAATGATTTAAAAAAAGAAGAAGAAAGCTAAAATTACTTAACATGCAATGCACTTACATGTATGGTCTGAGCTTTTGGGGTGGTGAATTCACCATTGCCCTTCTTCACATGGAACTTCTTGAATGTCTCTATAGGATCTGGTTCTTTTCCCGTCTTCTTGATCTGCAAACACAAGAATAACGCAGCAGCAGTGAGCTCACACTTCTGGACCTTTGCTTCGTTCTTATTAAATACAAGAGAACATATTGGGGTACCTAATCAAGCCTAAACTTCGCCATGGGAACAAATCCGCCAGTAGCAGTGAGCTCAGACTTCTCACGATTGGCTTTGTTCTTATCACTGGTGCTCTGCCGGGGTGTAAACATACATATGCAAATTAGATACAAACACAAATAATCATAATACACAAGTTTAGACAGCAGTAAATTACCTTCCAGTTTGGATCACTCCACTTGTTAACCATTTCCCTCCAAATATGAGCAGGGATTTCAGTAGGTGGATTGTTAATCCTTTCAGCAAGGGTACGATATTGATTGAAGACTCGGTTGCGGAACCCATACATCCACTGGGAAAAGTTCCTCTTGATGTGTTCCTTGAGATGAACATTGAGTTCTTCTTCTGGAAGAGAGCATGTGAACCCAGATTCCTTGAAACGAGAAATCACGGTCTGCAAAGCAGAAGCAGGGTACTCCGAGAACTTAATCCATGGACCAGTGATGCCCCTTTTGAAGATAGCAGTGAGTTCATGGGAAGCCTGTGGTGTGACGCTCCTGAAAATACAAAATAACGTTCATAAGGCCTCATTCTCAATGGAAATTACAGCTTGTCACGTAGAAGGGCAATATCATGATTTATTACCGGTTGTCATGTATCTCAAGGTGAAGGCCATGTCCAGGCTTCACCCCTATTCCAGGACCTCTGCCATTCTTCTTCTGAGCTGAAGAACCTCCCCCAGTAGAGTGAGCCCCCTAGTTGAGGTTCACGTCCTCTTCAAAAACTATGTCGTCATTCGGGGGCTGAACCTCTTCATTCTCCAACTCATTCAAATGTTCACCCTCCCTTGTTGCCTGCTGAGTTTTTGGCACGGTTTCATTTTCCTGAGGAACCACTTCGACAGTATCTAGAGTGGCTGACCTTCCTGGTTCCTCCATTGGCCTTTTGGATGGCTTTGACTTCTCAGCCTTTTTTGGCCTTCCCATCTAGCTAGCACGAGCAGATCAATAAAGCTTTTCGTTCTGTGTTTTTTATTTCCTGAGGGGAGGGGTTCTGTGTATGTAAAAGTAATGTGTGAGGACATTCGTTATAAATAGAAGACTCCTAATCAATCGAAGAATCCTAATAAATTTAAACTAGTTCGCTTAGTTGATTCTAGGAATAGGGTAAAGAATTGAAGGCCAAAAACTCTGATGAATCAAGTAACGGGCAACTCACAATTATGATCGAAAGTAAATGCATGTTGTAATTAATTCAATGAATCAAAACAAGTCCAGACGCTTCGTACCTCCCAGAAACGCAGCGGCCAATCCCGATAGCCTTCTCGCGTCGTGCGCCTCTCCATCTGATGATGGATTCTCCGCTGTCTCCTTCACTCAGTCTTAAAGCGGCGAGAGTTTCCATAGCGATTTCATTCGAGGGAAGTCTGGGGAAGTCAATCGATCGAAGGGTGGAATAATTAGGGTTCGTCGTCTGAAATGAGAATGGAAAAGAGGGGAAATAGGAACTCAATCGATCGAAGGGGAGTTTTCCCTCTTTGACACCCACCTGTCGATGCTTATCATCATGCGTCGCCTTTTTTTGTGTTGGAGTGTGGTGTGAATTTTTTTTTTAAACGCTGCTGTGTATTGCAATTTAACCCAATTTTTTCGAATATAAGTGATTTAACCCCTTTTTTGGCGATTTAACCCAATGTAACAAAATAGAAATTTTATCTCTAATATAAATAAAAAAAATTTAGCTTTCAAGACTATAGATATTTTTTTTATACATAATATTTTCTAATATACATAATATTTTTTAGCTTTCAAGACTATAGATATTTTTTTTATACATAATATTTTTTTATCTCTAATATACATAATATTTTTTATCTCTAATATACATAATATTTTTTAGCTTTCAAGACTATAGATATTTTTTTATACATAATATTTTTTATCTCTAATATACATAATATTTTTTAGCTTTCACGACTATAGATATTTTTTTATACATAATATTTTCTATCTCTAATATACATAATATTTTTTTTTATGAATATAGATATTTTAGCTTTCAAGACTATATTCAAGAGAAAATAACAATACCATAATGTATATGTTTAAAAAAATGAAAACTAATAATGTATATAAAAGAACAAGTTCGTAATGTAGGAAAACAAAATTTAGAAGTCATATTACATGATTAAAGAAATTCTTCATAACACATGCCACGCAAGTTTAAGTTAACATTGTCGTCCTCATCCTCGATAACTCGACCCCCATTAGTCATTTCGTCTTCTTGGTATGCTTGTTCTTCTAAAATTTCCTCGACATCCGCCACATTATAAAAATTCCTCGGCCTTGTCTCAACCACCATGTCACATTCCGGATCTCTGGCACACTGCACATAATACACTTGGGTTATCTTACTTGCCAAAACGAAAGGTTCGTCCGTTGGTCGCCTTCGTCTTCGATGGAGGCTAATAACACCGTGGCCATCCCTCCTATAGCCTACGCCTTCTCGCGTGGTTTCATACCAATCACATTGGAATAACACTACACGAAGGTCTTCAGTATATCGCAACTCTATGATATCTTCAATTACGCCATAGTAAGGAATCCCCACACCTTCCTCACTTCGCACCATGACTCCACTATTTTGACTTGTTTTTCTAATCTCGTGATCTTGCGTGTGGAATCTAAATCCATTGATGCAATAGCCTGAGTAGTGCAACACTCGTTTGTCCGGCTCTCGAGACAAAGTCAACATAGAGGGATGCAAAGTTGCAACATTGTCATCAATCATTTTGGCCACCTGCATCATGAAGCAATTTTTTTTGTTGGCTTGTACACGAATATCATAATACGACAACACTATATCATAATACGACAACACTTCAAAATTTACGTGTCAAAATAGTTAATTACCTGAATAGCGAACCACTTTTGGAATTCTTCCCTGTGCACTCTCTCAACCATTCGCACACCGCGTCCAGCCAAAAATTCCTTATGTTGTCTACATATAGTATACATACATATGCAAATTCTTAAAATAATGATTATTAATTGTAGCAATACACACAGTATTGAAGAAGTATAAATTGTACGTACCTCCTAAAATCCTCGACTTCGTCACAGTTTTGCAAGACATAAAATGTTGCAGCTTTGAACAAATCATCATTAAAGTCTTTCATGACGAATGTACCAATAAAACGACCGGCATGTGGCAAAATGGACAAATTATGTGGGTGAACGGTTCCCTCCGGAATACTATCATCATTTCTTTCAGGACGATTAAATCGAGTTTCCACATCCGTCATGTATTGCGAGCAAAATGTAACGCACTCATCAATCACGTATGCTTCAGCAATAGATTCTTCTGGTCTTGCCTTGTTTCGAACCCAACCTTTCAATTTCTTCAAATACCTAGTTAAAAAAGTAGGAAATATTAATAATTAATCCTCTTCATCGGACAACGTAACACTTCAAAAACAATAAAATTTTAGACATGTTTCAAGAATTAGTAAAAAAGAAAAAGAAAAAAAATTGGACATGTTTCAAGAATTAGTAAAAACGAAAAACAATAAATTATTAAATTTAATGAAATTCATACCTTTCCACTGGATACATCCAACGATATTGGACGGGTCCAGCAATTTTTGCCTCCCAAGGTAGATGGATGGCCAAATGAATCATGATATCGAAGAATGTCGGGGGAAATACACGTTCCAACTTACAGAGGGTTATGGCGATTTCAGAATCCATGGCTGATTAATCTTTCAAACTTAGCTCCTTCGAACATATATTCTTGAAGAAATTGCCAAACTCAATTAAGGGGTCCGCTATAGCCTTCGGAAAGAAGTCCCTAGCTGCAAGAGGTATTAATCTTTCCAACATGATATGACAATCATGAGTTTTCATTCCTGAAATCTTCCCTTCCTGAACATTCACACAATTTCTCAAATAGGCAGAATAACCATCTGGAACCTTTAACTTTGATATCCACTCGCAGAATTCCCTTCTCTGCGCTAGCAGCAAGCTATATAAAGCTCGAGGTAACACTGTTCTCCCGTTCCTCTCTACAGGATGTAATTCCTTTCTCAATCCCATCTCCTGCAAATCTTTGCGGGCATTTAGACTATCCTTGGTTTTACCTTCAATACTCATCATTGTACCCAAAACACTGTCACACACGTTCTTCTCAATATGCATGACATCTAAATTGTGGCGTAACTTAAGTGAACTCCAATATGGCAATTCAAAGAAAATGGAAATTTTTTTCCAATTATGTTCTTTACCAAATCCATCGATCTTTTTACCCTTTCCTTTGATCCCAAACACAATTTGATCGAATGAGTGGATCTGATTTGATACCTCGAGTGATGACAATTGCCTTGGTCTGGGCCTCTTCTCTACTCTACCGTTAAATTGCTTCCTTTGGTTGCGCCACTTATGATCCATAGGCAAAAACCGACGATGATCCATATACCACTCCTTATGCCCATTCGTCAACCTCAAATGCATTGTTTCCCCTGCACACGATGGACAAGCTAATTTACCTTTCGTACTCCATCCAGAAAGATTAGCGTAAGCCGGAAAATCGTTGATGGTCCACAACAATGCAGCTCTCATGATGAAGTTCTCCTTCTTGAATGCATCATAAGTTAACAAGCCTTCATTCCATAAAGCCTTCAAATCATCAATAACAGGTCTCAAAAAAACATCAATACTATTACCCGCAGCTTTTGGTCCAGGAATGAGCAATGTTAGGAAGGTGAAAGGATTCTTCATGCACTTCCAAGGAGGAAGATTATACGGGAATAGAAGGACCGGCCACGTGTTGTGCTTGTTGTTCATATTGCCGAATGGGTTGAAACCATCAGTCGCTAGTCCCAAACGAACGTTGCGGGGTTCAAAACCAAAAGATGGGTCAAACTCGTCCAAAGCAGTCCAACCCTCTTCGTCACATGGGTGCCTCATGATCCCATCTTTCGTGTGATTTAGAGCATGCCATAGAAGGACCGGCCACGTGTTGTGCTTGTTTATCCTTATAAACTTTCTTCCACCTTGATTTTTTGCACGTGGGGCAAGATGTCGCATCTACCAGCTCGGCGTAGTATAGGAAGCAATCGTCCTCACATGCATCTATTTCTTCGTAGTGTAGCCCAAGAGCTTTCATAAGCTGCTTTGCTTCATAGTAATTCTTCGGAAGTGATTGCGCCATAGGAAATACAGCCCGGATATACTTGACCAACTGGGTAAATGAATTGTTACTCCAGTTATTCTCCCACTTGATTTTCATAAGCTTTGTGACGAATGACAATCTTGACACATTCGAAGCACATCCCTCGTACAACGGTGATTGGGCCTCTCCGAAAAGTTTGTACAAATTTTGAGCTTGGGCATTAGGTTCTTCCGGATTCGCTAATGGAGCCATGAGGTCGTTCAGAACACCAAGCATATCAACTTCGCCCATATCGTTATTTTCACCCATATCGCCATCATCTCCATTGTCTATTTCCATGTTATCATCACCCAATTCTGGACCTTCATCGTCATCTTCTTCATCTTCGTCGACCTCGCCATGGTAAATCCATTTAGTGTAGTCGGTTCTCATTCCTTTATAAAGAAGATGTCCTTCTACCTGGTTCACTGTCATTCTACGCACATTACCACATTCCACGCAAGGACACCTTATTAGACCATCATCGTCTTTAACATGGTCTGTTGCATACTTCGCGAATTTCTCCATTCCCACAATGTACTGTGTGCATGCCCGATTCTTCAATTGTATCCAAGCTTTGTCGATAGGTTCCATACCTATAGATATATGTAGGAAATTTATGTTATTAGACAATATTACAAAAAAGTAAAACTAACTTAATTATTCAGGAAAATTAAATTGTCGATGTAGAAATAAAAATAATCCAAATTAAATCAAATGTTTATACCTTCACTAAGCTTTCATATATAAAACAAAGAAACGAATTTTTAATTACATTCAATATAATTTTAATCGATGTACAACTAGGAAACTTAACTACTTCCACTTTAATCCGTGTAATCACATTCAAACAAATACTAAATTAATAGTCTTCCTTTACCCAATAAAATAATAAATTAATAAAGATAATAACATTTGGGAAAAAAAAGTTAAGTGCTGCGTACAACTAAATACAATATAGACACCAAAAAAATGATAAAGTTAAGCTGGAAAAAAATAATTAAACAGATTCATAAAAAAAAACCAAAGACGTGGTCGGTTTGAAGAGCGGAGGAACTGCTTACCTTCCGTCCTCAAACCGCAGCCGCGCCGATCGCCGGACCTCCCCTACCCTCGCGTCGTTCCAAATTCTCAATCGGCGGTGAAGTTTGGCGGTGGGAAACGCAACTCTGAATCGTTTTCTTTACTCTTTCAGATTGGGAAAACTACATAATCATAATCCGTTTGTTCTTACTGGGATTTTATAGTGGTTTATGGCGAATTTGGGTCACGGTGGATTGATTTCTTCTTCCCCTTTAACCCTTTTGCCGCAATTAAGAGAAACTGATCGGATGAACATACTCCATTCATTGAACCAGTTTTGATGCCATTGTATCGTTCCCTTTTCCTGTAATTTCGGAATCAAATGGTCTGCAGGGGAAGAACCAGCCTTCGTTTATTGCAAGGGAGGAAGAACATTGAACTGATCTGCAGTAGACAGAGAGTTCTCTGCAGTTATGATTCTGTTACACGATAATTAGATACAAAAAATTAAAAAATGTACATAAATTGTGTGTAGTGTAACTGGTTAGCAAGCTCCTTTGCAAACATGTGGTCTTGGGTTCGAGTTTCATCAATGACTTATTTTTAAAGTTGTTTTCCATTATGAAATCCACTAAGCTACTGTTTCGGAAAACAATATTTCTGACCAATTATTTCCAACAAATCCATTTTCACATTCGTAAAAAGCAACCGAAGGGTAAAAAGGGTACATTTCAAAAACATGTTTCCCACGACATCATAATTCGTCAGTAATGTTTGACTTTTGACGATTTTTTTCAATATTATTAACGAATACAAGTTTGCTCACTAATATTGTTTTTTTCCCGCAAGTTTTTCAAACCAACTATTCATTAACGATGGAAAATATGTGGTCATTAAGATGGGTCGGGCAGCTACATGTAGTGTGCGTTTGTTCCAACCATCTTTTATTGACAACCGTATTATCACCGTCGAAAAATAATGATTTTTATGAGAAGTTACTAAAATCCTCGCAAATAAAACTATACCAAACAATTCTTTACCGAGTAAATGTTTTTGCGTCGCAAAAACGTTATGACACATATGCCATTTTTTTTGGGCGTCACAAACAATGATTATTTCTGACGGTTTGCTTAGGACAGTTAGTAATGTTATAAATTATTGACGAAAATAAAAATATCGTCAATAAAAATGACACTACCTTCCTCATAGATGTGAAATTCACCTTTACTGAGGAAGTATTTTAACTTTGCTGATGAATTTAGCTATTGGTTGGAAATAACATAAGTTTTTATGATACAAAGAAAGTTTTGTCACAAAAACAGTTATTTCCAATGAAAAAACAGTGTCGTCAGAAGGTTTTGGTCACTTCTGCCAGTCTTTTTTGTAGTGTAATGAGAGGAGGAATTTATAGGGTAAGCATTTTTCAAATATTCTATTGTCCCTTAACGCGATTATGCTATTTGATCAGTAATTCGTACTTCAGCTTTTGAGTCTTTGGTGCTTATCATGAAAGATTTTCAATATTCCTACCAGAAGCATATCTCATGTGTAAAGGGAAAAAAACTAGAAAGCGCGGGTAACTATTAACCAGGGACAGGTTACGGTGATTACTACAAAAGTAGTAATCACCATGGTTACTAAGGTAAATTGGGTATCAAAAATAAATCGTATTAACTAATTTTTTAATAAATTACATTTTAGATAGTTACAAAAATCTATTAATTACAATTCTCTCTCTTTCTCTCACATCTATAATCTCCAGCCAGATCTCCTTTCCTTATTTTTCTCAATCTTTCTGCAAAAAAAAACACGAAATCACTTGCAATCCATTAGACAACCACTAACACTTTGAAAAACATCAATACCATTGCAGAAATAAATCTATACCATTACACGAAAACTACCAATATAAACAATCTACCAATATAAATCTATATCATTTCACAAAAAATCAATACCATTGCATATTTAATCAATACCAATACATGCATATTAATACTATACATGATAATCAATACAAATGCGACAAAAACAATTCCAATGCAACAAAATCAATACCAATGCGACAAAAACAATACCATTGAGACGAGAGTGTCGGAGATAAAAGGATGACCAGAGCTTGCGATTGCTTTGACGACCTCCGTGGTCCCATACTCGCCCAAGACGTTTGTCCATCGGCTTCTTCCTGCTGTTAGAGAGAGAGAGAGAGAGAGAGAGAGAGAGAGAGAGAGAAGGGAGGGTCGTGGGATGGGGTGGGAAGAGGGAGGGTGAGGTGTGTGGAGAGTCGTGGGATGTGGTGGGAAGTTAGGGAGGGTGAGGTGGGGAGGCGGCACCGGCGGGAGGGGATGGTGAGGTGGGGAGGCGGTCGGCAGGAGGAAAGGTGGGAGGGTGGTGAGGGTAGACGTAGGATTGGGAAAGGTAAATTATAAATATATGTAATAATCTCGTGAGATATTATTTTGATTCCTAAACTATTCTTAATTTAATCTTGACCGTTATTTAAAAAAAATAGAGCTAATGAACGATTTAAATATAGGTAGCCACGATTATTTACTATAAAACTAGATTAGGGCCCCCCACTTGGCCGGGAGAGTTTGATTTTCATGTGTATGTGTAGTAAACATTAAGGATTGAAGTAACAATTTAATTTGGTAAGTTCTCCATGAATAATATAGAAAAGTATTTAATGTATTTGACTAATGAAGTTTAAAAAATGACAAACAACGCCCAACTACACTAACGTAAATTCATATTTCAAACAAAGTCATATCTATATAAAAATGTCTAAGAAGAACAATGATAAGAGTTGTTTTACATCACACATACATAATCAATCTTCAATATACGATAATTTTTTTTGCCTTTTCCATTGACTTTCGTGTATTCAATGATATAATGAAACAAATCATATGTTTAGAGTATACTTAAAAAGAAACAAACTAACTCACATAGTCATGGTTCCATTGACTTTAGTGTATTCAATGATATAATGAAACAAAGCATGCAGATCTCCAGCTGCAAGTTCAACTAATAGAGCAACACATAAAAAGCTAAATCAAAGCGAAAAGAAGGCAAAAACTAAAAGCAGCATATCTAACATTTTGGGGGAAATCCACAACAATAAAAGTCATTGTATGAACACTTGATAATGATTTGAACACTTGTGATATATGAGTAGTGAAAGTTAATAAAAGTTATTGTAGCTCTTACTCAAGTTAGAAAGACTTTGATTTAATGGTACGTAAACAATGATATGTAGTGCTTAAGAGGGAAGATGAGACCTTACATTGTTTATTAATATGCATCTTAGTTTCATAAATTTTACATCATTAAAAATTTATGTGCTGAATAGAAACCCATCCAAGTTTGGAGCCATTGTAAAATGTAAGTTATGAGGCAAATGAAAAGTCTCAAGGAAGGTTGTCAACTCGCGGGTTGACCCGGACCTGGTGAATCTAGTGAGTAAAGGGTTAATGGGTCACCCGGTTTAGCCCGAAAATATGGAAAGAGTCATTATATTATACTTATCCTGATAAATTATATCAAATCTCATTTAACATATGAGTTATAACATATAATATTACACTAAAATAACATGTCGTACTTAGATCCAACATATAGTGAAAATTCACACACAATTATATAACAACAATATTCAAATGTTCAACTTAGGATTCCAAAGATTGAGTTAGCGAAAAGAAAATTGGAAAATAGACGCATTTCGCAACCCAAAGAAAAAAATGATACAATTTGACCTCTAACCCGATACCTTGTAGCGGTCGACTCGGTGGGTGCGTGCTGCCCGTTTTTCTCACCGGGTCAGGGTCAAAGTGGGTCGACCCGCGTGTTGACAACCTACTCTCATGCTTGAGAAATAAATCTATATTATCAAACATAAAATCATATCTTGCGCCAGAAAAAAAGAACAAAAAAGTAGTAATTCGATAATCAATATAGGAATCAATATGGACACAATATCTAACCAAGATAAGAGGAAGCGAAAAAACACAAATTGCTGTGTATAGATTCCGCTCACGATATTTCAAAGTGAAAAATACCATAAAAATTATTAACCAATAAAAGGGAACGATTAAGGATAAAATGCATCAATTTGAACCTAAAATTAGAGGAATTAATATCCTACACCATCATATATAATGATATATTATATCCCAGAACATCATAAACAAATCTATCTAAATGAAAAAGTATACTAAATTGAATCCAATGTAAAAGTAACGATGAAGATAGATATTATATCCACCTAAGGAATAATAAAGTAAACCATGTTTCTTAGAGATCTGTCACGGCCTTACTCTTGGTCGTGCGGCCCTAGCTCTCAATTCCGTTAGAGATACTAGGCAGCCTTCTCACAAGCTCTCAAACTCACTCAACTCACAAGAACAAGACACAAGAAGATGGGAGAAACTCTATAGTTGTATTGCTCACAAAAATGATGGATAAGTTACAAGTGAGGGAGATGGCTCCTTATATAGGCCTCTCCTCATACAAGGCATCAATGCCCCTCATAATGTCCCTCTACTACATCAATACACCCATTAAGTCCCCCCATTATGCACTCTATAAATGTCACCCATTATGTGACTCATAAGTGCACCATTAAGCTCTCATTTAGGTGGAGAATCCTAGGAGCATCTCTATGCTACTAGTCTTCCATACACGCCACATGTGCAGCCGCCATGTTGTCACCTTGTTGGCGCCATGTCATCTGCCACATGTGACATCCTCCCCCACATATGCTCGCGACGCCCTCGTCGCGTCCTTGCTACGAAATGCCTCCTTCGACCTCGAGCAGCCTCTTTCGACTCTTGAGCCTCGTTGGTGACAGACCCCTCTCGATAGAACCACTCTATTATAAAACTCATTTTGTCAAACAATTGCATCATATAGAGTTTTAACTAAATTTGAAGTGCTTATAATTAGATATTTTAGCTCATGAATGAATTAATTATATCATTTGGTAAAAGAAAATAATTTATAAACTTTAGAGTTATTTCGTTTGGTGTTAAATCATTTGAACTAAAGTATGAAATTGGTTTAGAACCGTTATTTTATTCATTATTATTAAAATTGCTATTTTTATTATAATGTCTAAGCATGTCTAGGCGAGCTAAGAGATAGAAAAATGCCCAATGACCGTCGTACGCCTAACGTGCTGCTGAACCTCAATAATTATAGCAAACTTTGAGTGCATCTTATAAATTTGATCACTTCTATTTGGGTATAATTGATTACATCAATAAAGCGATCAATCAAAGAGTCTTTCTTTAAGATTTTGATAAGATGTCCCTTACTGCACAATTAGTATGACTAAATTGTACTAAGATAATCATGTATTGAATTTTGAATCGATAGCGCAAAAGATTGTACTAACTCAAGTAGAGTTTTAGCTACTCAGTACTTCATATTCGCATGTAGATAGCTATTTCGAAGAGTTAGAATATTGATTGAGTTTGTTGAAGTTTACCTAACGAAACTATGATATCAAGCGCAATATATTATGCTTTTAGGAGAAATTGGGAGAATATGTTGGTGACATCAAACCTAACATGGATACCATTGAATTTAAGTGATAAGCAACATTTATGTTTAATAGATTAGACATGAAAAATATATTTAGCATTCTCATAAGTTGGTGTGAAGAAGCGAATAATTAGGATTTGAAAGCTAGAAACAAAGTTGATTTAATAAATAACTGCAAAGGATATTGTGAAAAAGAAAACAAATGCTTAGAGCATAGCTAGGCATGAGAGTGTTACATTAAACTCTCTAAGAGAAAGCAAGTAACCATTAATAGTTAGTTGTGGATATTGAAATAGTTAACTATGATGAATACTATATACTGGTGTCAATACTTGGACTTTAGCTTGAACATTGCATCATGCTGATAAAAATTATTTCATTAATTACATTATTGAAATAAGGGGTCGTATGGAAGTTTTGATTGTTTTTTAGATTGTTAAAAAAAATACATTTTTCATAATACAATACATATGTTTTCATTTTTGTTCATACACAATCGTGAATTATTTGCTTGATTTGACTAAACTATCATTCAAATTGAATGATTAAACAATTTCGAATTTTAGCATAGACTGTCGAGATAATTGGTATCGATGTTTGTCATTTTTATTTATCTTGAAATGTATGGTACCAGTGTTCTTATATCGTCATTGAACACTTCAATTCAATGCGCAATATTCCAACCAATGATATTTGTGTTGAGATTTTAAGATTATCCTTCATTTATAAGTTACAAATATTATAAATTAATTATTAAAATATGAAAATAGAAGTATCAAACTCCACAAAATACTTACAGGAGACTTAGCGGGCTAACTAACTGTGATAGAAAAGTACTTTGTTTTTCATAATTTTAACCTCCTCTATGTTTTGTATTAATAAAGTACAACAAATGTATCTCGTCTAATTGGTTACAATTCTTGTCTTTGGAGGAAGGGACCATGGTTAAAATCCTAGCATTGATATTTTTTTATATGAAATAAAAAAATGATTGTGTAGACGAAAATACCCTTCCTACTTTCACTCTCGTTGCAGGAAATTTAAAATGGAGCAAATCAAACTCTTTAAAATATAGGGCAATGTCTATTTTTTACCCAAACCTTTTCAAAATTCTTTTATTTTATCCAAACCTATTGAATTTCTAATAATTATCCAAACGTTAACTCTCCGTCAACTTTTCTGTTAGGAATGCTTACTAAGCATGACCATGATGAGTTGGCTTCCCACGTGGCAGTCAGAATACTATCATTTACTATTTTTAGTAAAAAAAAATATCAAAAATTTAATAAAAACAAAAAAGGATCCCACCCCTCACGTCTTCTCAATTCTCCCATCCCCTCTCACTACTTCCCTTCCGCCTCTCTTTCTCATCGATTTGGCCGTCGTCGTCGCCCTCTCACTACTTCCCTCTCCGCCTCTTTTTCTCATCGATTTGCGGCCATCGTCGTTGCTGGGGCAGATGGGGAAACCCCTCATCGCCGTTGTCGGAATCGGAAGCCCAATCAGAGAAGGCAACCGACTCCTCTTCATCTTCCTCCAATCCTCCTGCACCAGCACCACCGTCAGTGTCAGTCGAAGCAATCCTCACGATCTCTGCTCCCTTCCGGCGCCCAACCCATCAGCAAACTCGATTCCCCAAAACCCATCTTTTGATTTTTTGTTCTTCCGATTCATAGATCTGGATTTACAGTTTCGACGGCGGGCGATGGCATCGATGTCCTCCTTAGTTTCGCGGGGGCTTGGGCGGCGACGGGCGACGGCTGGCAAGAGCGTGAGTTGTAGAGCTTCTGGAGTTTTTAAATTTCTAATTATTTTCTTTAGTGATATAAGAGAATTGTTTTTTCATTTATGAGTGGACGCTGACATGGATGCATACGTGGAGTTCTGTTACGAAATAAGTAACGGTAACAGAACGAATGCCCAGACTTTGATCAATTACAATAAGTTTGGATAATAAATAGAATTTTGATAAGTTTGGATAAAATAAAAGAATTTTGAAAATGTTTGGGTAAAAAATAGACATTGCCCTAAAATATATTATAAGTAGTCTAGACCAGAGTATTATTCATCCTAACGCATTCCCTATTAACCACTTTTATTTCCGCTAAAAGCAAAAGGAGTCCGTGGAAGGACAGGGCCGTCATTTTGATTAGAGTGGATAGATGCTTTGATTCCGTCTCTTTCGTTGGTTTTCCTTTCTCCCCTGTTTTGCTTCCTTGGATTCCTCTGTTTCAGCCATGGCTTCCATTCCAATTGGGGGAAGCTTAGAGAGATGGAGCCTAGCCGGGACCAGCAGTAACTATCACGGTCACCGTAAACTCCTGCCGACGGTAGTGCAAGCGGATTTGCCAACGGTTTCCTGCAATTCGACTTCCAGAAGAGGCGCGATTCTCATCACCACATTGCCGACGTTACTGGGCCTGGTGGTTCTTCCGTCTGAGGCCAGAGAAAGACGCAACCGGAAGAAGATCCCTATGGAAGATTACCTCACTAGCCGTTAGTTCCGTTCTACCCTGAACTCTTCCGTTCCATGGATAAATTCCGAAACCCATTTCAATTTCACGCCATTGTTTCCATGTTGGCTACAGCTGAAGGATTGAAATACTTCGACATCGAGGAAGGGAATGGCCCCGTCGCTGAGAAAGGAACCACCGTTCTGGTTGGTACCTTCTTTACTTTTCTGAGGTAAATTTCAAGTCGGAGAAGTAGCTTACAGGTTGATTGCTGGGCAGGTGCATTTCGACTGCATATACAGGGGAGTGACGGCAGTGTCGAGCCGAGAATCGAAGCTGCTAGCTGGAAATCGCATCATTTCTCAGGTACGGCATTCGTACCCCCCTGAATTCTGCTATGCTGCGGCGGGCCACTTTCGGATTAAGGCTGATTGTTTTGATGATAGCCATACGCGTTTCAAGTAGGAGCCATCCCTGGGAAAGAGAGGAAGAGAGAATTTGTAGATAACCCAAATGGTCTCTTCTCTGCACAAGCTGCTCCTAAACCTCCACCGGCTATGTACACGATCACCCAGGGGATGAAAGTCGGAGGCAAGGTCAGTTCATGTTTCTTTTACCATTCTTCTTCTTCTTCTTCTTCTTCTTCTTCTTCTTCTTCTTCTTCTCTGTTTGATTGGTTCTCTTTATATAAACCCTCAAATTTGCCACATTGCAGAGGACTGTAATCGTTCCTCCTGAGGCTGGCTATGGAAACAGGGGATTGTATGAGATTCCAGTATGCACATAACTCAACTCACTCCTTCCCTTCATCTCTTTTTTCCTGCCGTGGTATTTTCTGTTCACTCTGTTATATATTTTGATTGCAGCCAGGAGGCACATTTGAGCTTAACATTGAGCTCTTGAGAGTAATGCCAGAAGGAGGAAAATAGAGACGATTCTGTAATTTTTAGTGGTGGTGCATACTATATGTTGCTGCCCGATTTTGTTGAAGAGCAAATGAACATTGCTGATTAAACTCTACTTCTGGAAAACTGTTCTCAGTAAACAACCCTCAATGCTCACTTCTTCTAATACCTATAAACGTTTGCAACTAGTACAGGAAACGTCTAATGCTAATTACTAGCATAATTCTGCAGTCCCAGTGCAACAAAACTTGGGCAATCTATTCTATCCAGCAACCAGCCTTTTATATTTCGTCAATGTATTCCATTAGATCTTCAATGTCCTGCCTCAAAGCTGCAATCTTCTGTTGCACAGAAGCAACCCGGTTCTCGGTTTCCCTACCTCCAAGCTTCTTCTCGTAGGAATCAACTATGATCGAGTGCTTGGCCATCAGCCTCTCCTGCAATTCCCTCTCCTTTGCTACTAGCTCCTCTACCTGTTTTGCAAAGCCGGTATCAGTCAAGACATAAAGGCTTTTCTACAAGGAATAATGAGTGAAATTGTTCATGAATGAACCTTGGGGAAAATATGAGCAGCAGGGGGTGAAGATTGCAAGAACGAGATCAAGGGCTTCAGTTCCTTCGACAACTCCTTCAACAGGCCATCGGTTGCCTTGCGTGCGGCTTTACAAGCTTGCACATCTCCTGTTCTGGAGAGATCACGTAGTGATGCCTCTAGCTTTTCGTGTGTGGATAGGCACTGGTTGACGGTATTTTGAATCTGCTGCACTGTTGCTCTCACCTGTAGAAATGTAAGTTAATTTTTCCTATCTATAAGTTCCAATCTTCGAATTGAAATGAAGGTCAAGAAATAAAGAGATTCCCATACATCATCCCACTGCAGGTTTGCTAGATACGAAGCTGAAGACTTGGAGATAGATAAGTCAACATGCACATAGACTATGCAAGTGACAAAAAGGAAGAAGATTCCAGTGATCAACATGAATGGCTCCATCAGCATTGCAAGTGCATTGAACTGGTAATAGACCTGCACAATGACCAAAATGGCAATATTTTAAGCTAAGCGAAGCTAAAAGATCTCGCCATCATGTAAATGTCAGAAAACACTACTGAATCTGTCTGCCATTCTAATTTTCTCCTAGATGGATGGTAAGGGAAGCCTTTACATCTCATGAATCTATCAGTATCCCAAACAGAGTTTAACATAATGAAAAGGGACAGTAACGTTTACCTGGAAAAATTGATTATGCTCTGGCACAACGTTGGCCTTTTTCAGCACAACAACAGGTCGGCCAAATATGTCTAGATGAGACATTTTTATCTGTATAGGTCATTGCAGTCATCATTCAGCAAAAGAAGAAGCTGCCCAATGCAAAATTTTGATGGAATCAAGAGCAAAACATAAAAGAGAGTCAAAACTAATTCTTAGTTCCCAATACCTCTTCTTCCTGTTGCACAACAAATGGAGTAGAAACAGAGAGATATTTGGATCCTTCGGGCAATACAACCTGAAATTCAAGTCTTAACATCAGGACATCAGATAGCTCTGTTGAAAAGTTTAATCAACAATTAAGGTTGCACCTGTATAACAAACTTGCAAACACAGCTCCCAATAGCCTTGTTTTGCAGACAAATAAGAAAGGTCACTAGGCCAATTTAAATTAAAAAAAATACATGCCTAATCTGGTCATCTTAAGAACCTTGTATAGGCATGAGAAATGTCGCAAGATATAAATCTAATCACATAAGCAACCACACCCTCAGTGGAAAGGCAAGGTAAGCAAGCAGAGAAAGGAGAATTCATGCATCAATCAATCAAACCTTCAAAGTGATGCTATCTGTTACTAAGTCATGCATAGGAGAACCAAAGGAGAAGTTTAAGAAACGTTTCCCCTCTGACTCGAACACAAAATCCTGTAGCGGCAAACCATATCCAATAGTGAATGCAGTCTTCCAACCACCAAATAGTGGATATCTAGGCTCAATCAGAATTTCCGTCTGCAAGCAAAGAAAATCTTGAGGTTAAAATCAAAGCCATTAATTCGAACAACTTGCATCACGTCTATCGGGATATCAACCTTCTTTGAGTCCCCCCTGACGTGGGATGTTGATATATTTCCAATCGCATCCCTGTAATAAATAGAATGAGCCCTCGGAGGCAGTTTAGCAACAAGATGTTTAAAGGCTGATGCACCTCGGATTTGGGGTTTGGACTGGTAGTCAAGCCTGCAGGGTGGAAGTACAGAATTAAACATTAGACTTCAACCACACTCGTGACCATAATGCAATAGGAATTCTAGAATGTGATCTACGGTAAGAATCAAAAAACGGTTAATGTTGAAAGTTCACCTGGAAAATTCACCCTTACTCATGGCACCTCCATGGACAATGTCATAATGCTCAGTTACTTGCACATTCCCCCAGTGGGAGATCTCGATCTCTCTCACGAGCTCCTGAGCAACAGCAAATGCCTGATTGGCTTCAAAATGTATGGCAACCGGAGAGTATGAGAATGGAGGGAGGTTCTCATATGGGCCATATTTGATCTCCGAACCAAGACCCTTTGTGTTCTCAAGCTTTGTGTATGACTCTATCCTAGCGTCGGGCAGCTTCACAGTGAGGGATTGAACCTTGACTGGATAAGGAGAGAGATAGTGTGCAGTATCTTGGAACACCACGAGCTGAATGTCAGCCTGAGTGATCTTCTCGGGGAATGGCCTCAAGCTATGGGTAAATGCAGCCAAAACATCTAAGGTCACGCTATCGCCATTAGCCAAAGGCTTGGGTAATAGCATTGTGTAGAAACTCAAAGCCGGTGGCATCCCTTTAGGATTGGCAGGTTCAACCGCGAGAGTAACACCAGATGTTTTTGCTTTCCCTTTCCCTTCAACAAGTTTTACAGTCAAATAAGCCAGATTTTTCGCCTGGACTTCAGGGATGGACAGCAGAATCTCTGAAACCGAACTTGAACCATCATTCTCCGCCTGATATCACAGAGTAAAGGCAGAACATGAAGAATAAGAAATGAGAAGATGCCCATTACGACAAAGACACAACCTTTTTAAGTATAGAACGAATAGAGAAGCATAGTTGAAGCACCTTGATTGTAGAGGCGATGCGTGCGATCTGTGAGGTCAAATCAATCTGTAAAACAGAACAGAGAGACGTCCATTGATAGACAAGTTAAACAAAACAGCTCAAATTTACAAATCAAAATCCAATTACAATGAGGGCTCGTCTCTATTTCTGTTCATGTACCCAGTTCAGCCCGTCGCCGGATCTACAGAAGGACTAAGCAGAAATGAAAGGGGTGGAGGGAGATAGGTTACCCGTCGCTCGACTTTGGAGAGGATCAGATCGGAGAGTACAGGAACCGAGAGAATCGCAATTATCAAGAGTAGAAATTCAATCGTACGCATAACACCTAACCCAAGCCCCATCGGCTGTTCTTTGTTCTTCTTCTTCTTCTCAGGTCTCCCTCGTCGTCGTACACAGTGACAGTGGATCGTTCCCTTCTTCGCTATTACTCACTGGTGCCGATTTGTAGGGGTGTATATGGGTCGGTTGGTTCGGGTTTAACCATTTTAATCACCCGACCCATGTACTACGGTTTGGAAATTATCAAACCCAAACCCACCCAAAAAAATTAAAACCCTACGGTTTGTTTCTAATTGGGTTGGGTCGGGTTGGCGATAATTTTAAGTAAAAACCCAACCCAACATAAAAATATATAATTATTATACATCATAAAAATATTTTATAACTAATTAAAATTTCAAACGAATAAACCGAGGTGAAAGCTATCAAAATTCAAAAATGTTGTTTGAATTTTAATAAAATGTTATTTACTTCCACATATGTCTAGTTTTTTTTCACGATATTTGTTGAAATAGGCTAAAAAAGTTATAAACAAACGCATCTATAATATGTTATTCTATTAAAATTGTACACAAGAAAAATGATTACGTGAATCATAACTATACTCAATTTATGTTTAAACTTTAAGTCGAAGAATGCACTAGATTAGGGAGACCATGATAGAAAAACATGGCGAAATATCTTAATTTTCTCATAAGTATTGCTACATACGACATAAATATTTTTTAGATACGAACTCATACTAATAGTTGGAACACGGGTTGGGTCGGGTTCTACGGGTTGTGTAATCCAAAATCCAAACCCAACCCAAAAGAGGCGGGTTGTACAAAAGAAAACTTTCACCCAACCCAAAACCTTCGTTTTAGCTATAAATACGGGTGGGTCGGGTCGGGTTGGACGGGTGGGTCGGTTTGCGGGTGGTTGGTTCACCCCTACCGATTTGTTCTCCCATTTTCAGCACGTAGCTCCGAAGTCGGAACTCCATAACTGTGCTTCCAAGCGGGCCAGACTCCTGTAACATTGGGCCGACCCAAAAGGAAAGCCCGTCTTGATTCCTTTGTTTATTGGGCCGTAAATTATCTCTTCCATCCTCCATTTTTGCGGGAGCTCGAGCTATCTCTCTTCTTCTCTCCTTTTGAGGTATCTGTTGACTCAAACAGAGAGACTGAAAGCAGCCAGGTTTTGGGTTTGCGGAGAACTGGGTTGAATTGTCAGTTGGAAGAGAAAGAAAGAATATCCTTTTATCGAATGGAGACGTCTCTGAGATACAGCGGAGGCTCAAAAAGAACCCTGAGAGAAGAATCCCTGAGGATTCATGCCAAGCAGAAGCTCCTCTTTGATCCTAAAACCCAGTTGCAGGTGAACCTTCTCTCTTAATTGATTCATATCTGCTTAATTTGTCGGCAGTCATAGTTTTCTCCGCAAGTAATAAAGTTGAATGCTTTATGGTTCTGGGTGCTTTCTCTAGTATGTGAATTCAATTGGGAATGCAGGATAAGGGAAGACCTGTGCTTTCTAGGGTATGGATGTTGAAATCTTTTCTGTCATAATTTCGATTCTTTGCTAGTTTCATGGAGAGCTAGATACAAGGATTGGAGCGCCAAGTCATGTCAGTGCAATTTTAAGACACTTCCTCCCGGACGTACGTTCTATAATCACTGCTAATTTGACATTTGCTCAACTGAAACTTTAAGCCATCTTCCCTTGCTGCTGACATAACCTTGTTTGGTATTGTTGACTATCAGTTGGGTGCTAGCTTGGGTGCGGGAGTGCAGTATGACAGACAAGAAAAGCTTCGGTACAGCTTACGTGCGAAGAAGGCTTTCCCCATCACCAGCGATGGCTTGTTCAGTTTCAATGTCAAGGGTCGCTACCACTTGGACAAAGATTTCAAGGAGGTTGCTTTCTTGCTTTATTTCCCCTTCTTTAAACTTGGTAATCTGGGTTAGGATTGGCGTGTTCATTTCATCGCCATTGGACATTGTGGTCTTTGTGCCTGGTTTACTTTGAGAGTCCTTGTAGTTGTCTAGTCTATTGCAACAATGGTCATCATGAAAGTTAGATAGCAGTTTGTTGGTGAAGAACTTATTATTCTCATTATAACATGACAGAGCAAACCAACAGCAGCAACCGAGTTCTCCTGCAGCATATTCAATTTTCAGAAAGACCAAGATGTGAGGATCAAAGTTGGATATGAGGTCATTGACAAGGTATAAATATCTAATATCTCGAGGAACCGTGAATGCTGATCTTGGATTTTGCTGTTTTTCTATTCAGCTATACCTACTTTCTACTTTCATTCGCTCTTGTATGGTCTGTTGATGTTCCCGAGTGATGTGAGGCAAGAACCGTTTCCATTTTCCTGAGTTGGCAGATGAGCCTTAATTTCTACTTCCATTCGCCCTTGTATTGACTGGTAATAGTCCATGGTGTGCCAACCTCCAAATGTGACTGTTACATTGGTCCAGCTGGTTAACTCCCAATCTTTTGGTCCTTGTTTCAGCTGCCATATCTACAAATTAGAGAGAACAACTGGACCTTCAACGCCGACATAAAGGGAAGATGGAACGTGAGATTCGATCTATGAGGTAAACAACAGGCTTGGGTTTGTTTTCTGTTACCTTCACACTTAGTCCGCTAACCAGAACTCTGTTTTCACGTTGATTTGAAATTGCAGGCAAAGGCAAAAGGGATGGCCAACCCTGTGTTTTAGAGGTCAAGGTTCATGATTCTTCCTTATCCCTTCGGGCCGTAGTGGCCGCCAAACCATGTTGGAGCAATGATTTTATCATAAGACTTCCCAATAGTATGATTGAATCTGTTACACTTTTTTCACCTAATTCTAAGCAGGTAAAAAGTAGTTTTTTTCTTCTTTTTGATCATTCGTGTTACCAAGTTAATAAGGCGAAGCCAAGAACAAAAATCGAACCCATAACATTTTTTCGAGGTCATGCGAGTCGTGCATCTTGTTTGCTAAAAGGGACAAGGTGGGTGGGCCGCCTCCTTCATCCTGATCCAAACCAGCCGACCAAAGTCAAGAAGACTCAAGAGTGCTGCCACGCGTTGTTCCAGTCCTTCCACGTGTCTTGAAGCTGGTTTCCACAGATTTGGTTGCGATTAAGGATTAATAGAATCTTGATTCTTGGTAGGCAGAGTCTGGCTGGCTGGACCGCATTACCTTGAGATCAGCCGCTTTCCACCAGGCACTTTTACCTGCTTAATTAGATGAATATTTCCCCCACAGTGATTAAGCACCTAATTTAATCCTAAATATCTTGGGTTTCCTGCTGTTAAGTTCCTTGAATCGAGATTAGAAAAAGGGATGGCGGGTATTGGGGGTGGAATCTCTGGCTTACTGTGAAGAACTGACGACGGTAGGAAGGAATAGGATGATGGCTCCCCCTTTTGACCCAACTTGCAGTCTAGTCCATCAGTTTTATTCCTTCCTTCTGAAACTCACATGGTGGGTGGGCGAGACTAAATAGTAAGTGGGGAGATCAAAAGGTTGGAGATATTATTCCTGTCTACCTCGTTCTCTCTCTCTTGGTCTCAACGCCTCTGTGGAAAAAAAGGGTTGCTTGCTTCTGGACTGATTGATCTGACTGAGAGTAGTGATCAGCAAAATACAGAAGCGGTAATGAGCTTCACGCAGGCTAGTTGACGTATACAGAAAGGATAAATGGCAGTAGTAGTACAGACTACTTTAGTTCATAATTTAGATGCATCATATATCATCCCCAACAAGCAAGGAATCCGTTGGGTGGCGTGGATTGGTGGGCAACGCAAGTGAAATAGTAACTGAAACTCTTGGCTTTACTGGGACCAAAGTAGAATCATACGATTGCCATGGAGGGAGTGGAGAAGAGAAGAGAAGAGAAGAGAAAATAGACAGTCTTCTCATGTTTGTAATTTGTTGCAACTTTGGCGCAGGGCAGTTATTAGTTTCCTTAAAGCAAACCAAATTGCCATGCTAGTGTGTGTGTTGTGAACAAACTGATTTTGTCATGTAGCTTGAATGGGGAGAAATTCAAAGCGTATTGGATCTCATAGGGGCCTATTTTTACATGCTTTATGTAATTTGAAGTTTGTATAAGTCAAGATAGTAGGATTGTAAGAGCCTATGATTCTTACTAATGATTTTAGAGTTAAATTAATACACACATTGTTATGATATTAATAACGAGTTCGTTCCATATATGAACTTGAGCTATTAGTGAATGATCTTTTGAATTTGAAGGATTGCAAGTAAGGAATAATGGAATAATAAAATATCAATTTTTGCATTTTTTTCTGACAAAGACTTGAGTTAGGGAATTCCTACTTTACCTTGAAGTTATTGTAACTTGATGTTTTTGACCTGTTATAACAGGTTTCACAAGTTGCATTACGTAAAATACAATAGGCATTACGTAATGGTTACGTAATGTGTGTTTATCTTACGTAATAATTGAAAAATGTCATTACGGAAACCTTACGTAATAGACAATCAATTTACATAATGAATATTAACCTTCCGTTACGTAATCTGTTAAATCATTACGGAAGACTTATGTAACGCTTCTAATTTAACTGTTACGTAAGAAATAACTATCGTTACGTAACCTTTACGAAATAGATGCATACTTTACGTAATAGTAGTAAAGTGTCATTACGGAAGCCTTACGTAATGGATGGTCATGGTCCTTTTACGCAATGAATATTAATCAAGTTACGTAACGTGGTAAGTCATTACAGAAGTCTTACGTAACGCTTCTAATTTAACTGTTACGTACAAAATAACCTTCGTTACATAATCTTTACCTAATTAGTGTGTATTTTATGTAACCGTTGTAAAATGTAATTACGGAAGCATTACGTAATAGACAATGCTTTTACGTAATGAATATTTACCTAGCGTTACGTAAACTGATAAAGCGTTACGGAAATCTTCTATAACGCTTCTAGTTTAACTGTTACGTAAGACTGACAGGCATTACGTAATTGTTACTTAATAAACATTAGTTTTACGAAATGCAACCTATAAAACCTGCTATAGCAGGTCAAAAATATCAAGTAATAGTAACTTCAAGGCATGGTAGGAGGTCCCCTTATGTTATCATAGCAAAAATTCATCTTTGATATAACTAGCTAGGATCAGAAGTCAGAACTATTGCAGATAGTAAAAGGGTCCACACTGAACGTTAAAATCCTTTAACTAATGAATTGACTTAAATCCTAAATTATGATAGATCTGTGCAAGCTCTAACCCTACTAACCAATACTAATTTGTCATTTGTAGAAGAGGCATAAACAAAAACAAATCTGCCTCTTACAAATAAATTATAAAACATTTTGTCATGAATCTCACAATTCAAGTTAAATGCATTTTTTTGTTAACCTGCAAACAAAGATCTTAAGCGATATTATCTTTGTCCGTCTAATTTATATATAGAGAGAGTATTTGTCAGCTCAATAGTAAACCGTACTTATACTCTACTCTCCAATACAAAACAAAACTACAAAGTCGGATCTGATTACAAACTACAAAGACGTTATAACCTAGAAACTATGATCTTGCTAGATTGGTTGAATTAGTTAAAAATATGTTTAAATAAAGAAGGTAAAAAGGTGGTGGTGAAGAAGGAGCGCAATGAATGGAAGGAACAGTGAAATATAGCAGCAAAACAAAAGTGTCAATAAATAAATAGTGTATTAAAAAAAATCTCTGCTGTAATTCCCCCTTTCTCTTATAAAATAATTTTGCTTCTTTCTTCCCCTCTCTTCTTAACACCAAAATCAAACCAACCACTGAAAACGATTCATTAGAAACTGTTTTTGTTTCCCAGCAGCTCCTGTATTCCAATCTAATTGCAATACAGGACAAAGAGGAAACATTAAACAAAAAAAAGAACATTAAACAAAAAAAGAAAAAGACAGAAGAAGGAAGAAAGAAGAGAAGAAGGGAAGTTCATATTTAAACCCCCTTAAATGAAACCCCAAAATCCCCAATTCCAAAATCCCTATCCCCCAAATTTCCCCATTCCCCCTCTCTCTCTAAACCTTCATTTCCTTCTTCCCATTCCCCTCTCTCTCTACAGCTCCTCCCCATTCCATTCACATGACTCGTCCATTCAGACTGCTGGATTCGGTGAGCTCCTCGCCGACAACGACAACCGGGGACTCCTCCGAGCCACCCGCTCCGCCGGTGGACTCCGACTTCGTCGTCATACTGGCCGCGCTCCTCTGCGCTCTGATTTGCGTCCTCGGTCTCGTCGCCGTCGCCCGCTGCGCCTGGATCCGCCGCTTCTCCTCCGGATCCGCCGCCGCGGCGGAAGGCGGCAGGGCTCCGCCGGCCCCGAGCTCCTCGCAGGCCAACAAGGGGGTGAAGAAGAAGATCCTCCGCGCCCTCCCCAAGCAGACCTTCTCCACCGACACAGCGGCCAAATTCTCCGATTGCGCCATCTGCCTCGTCGAATTCGCGGTCGGGGATGAGTTCCGGGTGCTCCCGCAGTGCGGCCACGGCTTCCACGTGGACTGCATCGACACCTGGCTCGGCAACCATTCATCCTGCCCTTCCTGCCGACAGATACTCGTCGTCAACCGGTGTCAGAAGTGCGGCGGCGTGCCCCCGAGCTCCTCGTCCGCCGCCGCCGTCCCCGAAGGAGGAGGTGGAGCGGAAACGGAGGCGAGATTGAAGGCGCGAGAAGATGTGGATGACGGGAATCGATTCTTGCCCTAGATTTTCTCCCCCCCTCCCTATTTTCGCGCGGTTTATTTACCTTTTTTATTTTTCTCCTTTCCTTTTTTTTCTATTTTGGGGTGGTTAAAACTGTAAAATGTTAATTAGTTAGAGCAATTAGAAAGGTGGAAGAAGGAACGGGAAAAAAAAAGGGAGAAAAATGTCATGTCTCGCAATGTCGGTTCGGATTTCAGGGACTACGTAGCTAGCGATTAGACATTAGAAGTTGGTTGGCTGCTTAATCGGTTTGTAAAAATTTATGTATACTTGTAAGTTGTAATATCTTGATGTATGATACTCAAATTTCACCATACCATTAATCACAAATCGTAACATTGCGGTTAATGAACCTAAGATGATTGGTGACTTGGTGTGCAGCCAAAATCTTTAATTACATTTCACAAAATAATTTATTCCGATAAATTTAATTATCGAAAGATGTTCAAATATAAATCTTATAAGCGTTCTATACATGAAATCGAAGCCGAAACGAAGCAACCACTGAAAATGGTTAGGAGAGGTGGAAAAGGCGGGGAATCCCACTTAGCTGTGGAAACGGCGCGGGTGGTTCCTCAACTCAACCCACTAACTGATGAAGAAGACTGTGAGTTGTATGGAAAAAAGTGTTCATTTCATTCATTCCAACCCACTGACTAATGAAAGTGTTGGGTGGGGGCAGAGAGTTGACAAAAAATTTGGTTGCCTTCCGTTGGTAAGTGCTGAATTCGAGTCAATTTTATTTAATACTGTAAAAGGCGGCGAAAACATCCGTAGACACGGAGCCCAAAGGAGATGGAAAATAAGGATTTGGGCCGGCCGGTGAGGGCTGCTGTTGGCTAATTGCAGTTGCAGGTAGTATGATAATATGTGCAAAGAGTCTCGAGTGGAACCTCGGTTGGTTGCTGATCTTTCTAATCAATGGGTTGATCTTTTGGGCTTTGGGCCAAACTCCTCCTTTTGCATCTTACGGGTTTTTTTCCTTTGTCGTTCTTTTTTTTTTTTTTTTTTTTTATGGTCATTTCCTTTGTCGTTCTGATCGAGAAGTTTGAGGGCTTTCCCTTTGTTTTTCATATATTTCTGTCAAATTGGGCGAAAGATAAATAAGACACGATCAATCCAAAGTGGGTTATGTCGGTTCGTGGCGGCCTTAAAGCCGAAAGAACGAGGAAGGCATGAGGCGACTAGCATATGGGTTGGACAAGACAAGCCCTATATATATTCTATAACTAGCATACGTGGATGAATGGTGCTTTATCACTTCACTTGTAATCGAGAGAGCATCGGTGAATAGGGGTGGTTAGTACCCTCTCAGCTCTTAAATCTGGATATAGCAATCTAATGGTTAAAAAGTGGGAATAGCTATTTAATTAATGACAGAGGTAGTTTGAGTATTATGGAAAATTACGAAGTATACAAACCGGACTTACAATCAGTACAAACCATACAAACAGTACAAACTAGAGCGACAAAACATTCAAACAGATTTACAAACATTACAAACATATGAACTGTACAAAAAATACAAACTAGACCAACAAACCATACAAAAAGAAAACAACAGATTGACTTTGGAGGCTCCATCCCTATATAGAGGGGCTCATTCCCAAAGTCAACCCGGGTGTTTTTTAGACATACAAACATGGTGGACAAAAATGACAAACTAGACCAAAAATTCATACAAACTGGAAAACACCCCGGTTGACTTTGGAGGCTTCATCCCTATATAGAGGGCTCCGTCTCAAAGTCAACCCGGTTGTTTTTTAGACATACAAACATTACGAACATGGTGAACAAAAATGACAAACTAGACCGACAATTCATACGAACTCGAAAAAATACCGAGGTTGACTTTGGAGGCTCCATCCCTATATAGAGGAGTTTCATCCAAAAGTCAACTAGGTTGTTTTTTAGACATAAAAAACATGGTTGACAAAAATGATAAACACGGTGCACAAAAATAACAAAGTTTACAAACATTACAAAAATAACGACAAACATTACAAAATAACAAAGCGTACAAACAGTACAAAACGTACTAACCGTACAAAATGTCACTAAAAATGACAAACAATACAAACCGAATCTATACAAACAGTACAAAATAGGTCAGTAAACATCACAAATCCAACACTGTCGCCGGGAAATCCTTCTCCGTCATCGCTGGTCGCCGAAAAAGTTCCCTTCGGTCATCGGAAAACTCTCTCTCTCTCTCTGATAATTCCCTGGGCAAAAATCTCTCTCTCGCTAGGATAATTCCCTGGGCAAAAATTGGGGAATAATTGCCACCCTCCCCCGGGAAAAGTGGTCCGGCGAATTATTTCCCAACCGGAGAGAAGGATTGGCAGGCGGGAATGGGTCGAAACTTTCTGGAAAAAAATACTCAGGCCGCCGGAGAAGGAAACGGATCGGCGGGTGTGGGCTGTATTTTTATTTATTTTAATTGGTAAATAAAAAATAATTAATTAAATTACTACACTACCCTTCATTAAATTGGATTAATCAGTACCATTGGATTTTAATGAGGTGGAAGGGCTGAGATTCACTTAGTCACATGACTAAGGGACCCCCCTTAGTCACCTGATCTTAGCCCCTTGTAATCCTTATTTTAATTTTAATTGTAGTCTAGAGTTTAGGCTTGGCAACAGGGAGGATCGGACCCGGTACCCTGTATTAGTCCCCCGCACATCATGGGCTTCGAGTTTACCCATTCCCGGCCCAAACGTTAATACAGGTCTGGTAGTGGCACCAGCCCCGTTACCGCTGGATTTTCGGGTGCCCGCGGGTCTAAGATACCGGCTAAAATAAAATAAAAAACCTTAATATATAAAAAAATATGAACATTTAATTTTATTCTGAATAATTGATAGTCTTAATTTTGAAACTGTGAGCAACAAGAACTCATGAACTCAACAAAGTTGCAATCAACAGCAACTTAAATCTTCCGAACTTGAAATCAACAAAAAACATCCATTCTCAGCACCATGATTGCCGAGTCTTATTCATAAGCAAGAACAACTAGCTGACTAAGATAAAACAAACTCCAAGCCATCGTAACTATTGAGAGCAAATGTAACAGCAGCCTTCCTTCGAGCAAGATGCAGCTTCAAGCCATCCTACCTTTTGTTGTCTTATTCCAAAGCAAGTAGCAACAGTCAACATTCATCAATTGCAAGTCTGCACAAACATTCAAGTAAACATTCTTATTCTTAAGTTACTAAGCCTAACAATCAACAACAACCTCGAGGTTCTTGCAACACAAGAGAAGATGATTTGAAGTTATACCTGGATCGACAGATGCAAATGGATCAGTCTTCCTGGCCAAATGGTGATCTCAAGAACACCATTTCTAGACCTGAAAACCAGGTAGCAAATCACATTAGTTCATCCTCAAATCACAATGATCTAGGTCAGAAAATTTAGAAAAGGAGAAGTGATTTTCTTACCCCGGGTTCTGCCTCCTCCACAGTCGTATCCTCGACTGACAGGGCTGAGAAGACTCCCTCCAATGCCTCCACAGCAACAACAGCCTCTGAATCGTTGCATGTCTTCCATAATCGAACTTCGTGTGCACATCATTGATTCAACAGTTGAATAATGAAGCCTCCTCCTGTGAGGGTCTAACAACCTCCCACCAGAACTGAATGCGCTTTCAAAAGCAACATATGTAATTGGGATTGCCAAAAAGTCCCTTGCAAGGTGGGATACTTGAGACCATTCAGTTTCCACCATAAGAGCAGATCAAAGTCTTCTGTCCGAGGAATAATATCATCAGCAAGATACATATCCAACTCAGTAGTAATCAAAGAACTCTTGCTCTTTTTCCTTTGACTTACAAAGAGCTCAAAATCAAGATTAGTAGCCGAGATAGATCTAGAACTAACAGAAGAAGTTCCAGTTTCAGAACCAGACTTCTTCTCGACTTTGGTTTGATAATCAAGAATCAAACCACAAATAATCTTCTTGATATTCTCACCAACCAAATCAATTTCCGTATTCCCAAACTTTCCAGCATAGTATTCAATCACATGGAGCTTATTATATCTAGGATCCAAAACAACAGAGACAGCAAGTACAAGATGAATATCATCCCAGTACTTATCAAACTTCTCAGACATTTGACTAGCCATTCCAAAAATCACAGGGTTGGGATCAAGACCCCACTCATTCAGTTTCAGTCTCAACTCACAAATCTTTGGGAAGAAAAGATTGACAGTCGGATACTTGGAACCAGAGAATAACTCGGTTATCTCAGAGAAAATTTCCAGCTTATCAATCACAACAGATGCAAATTCACAATGAGAACTAGAAGGAATAGATGTGTATTGATTGTCCCTCAAGCTCAAACGAAAGAAACATCCTTATATTGAAGAGCAACAAAGAGCATACGGTATGTGGAATTCCATCTAGTTGGACAATCAAGTACCAGTTTTTTTCTCAAAGGTCAACTTTAGTTGCTTAACAACTTCGAAGAAGGTTTGAAATCTCTTAGGTGTAGAATTCCAGTAAACCACACTCTCCCTAATCAAATGCATAACATCTTTGATTGCATCCAAACCATCCCTCACAATCAAGTTCAGAATATGAGCTGAACACCTCATATGAACCAATTTACCATCAAGCAACAGATCACTGCTCACAAGCTTATTTCTCATATGAAATATTATTGAATCATTGATGGTACAGTTGTCCAGTGTGATTGAGGACAACTTACCATCAATGTTTCAATCCAGAAGAGAATCAAACAACCTATCAGCTAGTCTTTGACTAGTGTGAGGGGTTGGAACATACATAAACCTCAACATTATGTTACGGAGCTTCCAAGAATTGTCAATTAAGTGACTAGTTACTGCCATATACCCCATTTTCTGATTTGTGGCAGTCCACAAATTAGTAGTCACTGAAATCCTCCCTCGGTAACCATCAATCATGGTCTGATATTTAGACCTTTCAACCCCATACAGACCCAAAATATCCTTTTTGGCAGTGTTTCTACAAGGGACAGCAAATTGAGGTTGAAGAGAACAACAAAAATGTTTGAAACTCACATGAACAACAAGGCTGAGGGGGTACTCATGGACCAGAATCATCGAACAAAGTTCCTTTCTAGAAACCTCATAATTGTATTGAGAAGCAGAGAGTTGAGGATTTCCAACAGGTTGGTAGTTGGGGCCAAGTATTTTTTGAGAACCATCATGTATCCTCTTCTGGATACATGTTTTGATATGGTTTCTCAGGTGTGAAGTTCCATTACTTTTTTCCCCACCAAGGGGTTTATGACAATACTTGCACCTAGCTTTCATTACCCATTAATCCTAACTCTATGGAAGTGAGGCCACACATTAGAGGTTAACTTACTTTGTGCTTCTAGTTTTTCCTCATTACCATTACCATTAACCGGATGATTTGGAATAGGAGCAGGTTGTTCAAGTTGGACTTGGACACCATTTTCAGGGACATGTTGTCAACATTCATAGCATTAGCAGTAGCACCTTCCATATGAACATAATCAAGTTATATATCTCTAATTAGACCTTCATTTTACATTTTTTCTTACTTAAATGGACAAGACTTCTTCTAACCAGCAAACAAGACACCATTTTCAACAATTTCACCATTACAATTTACCAATGCAGTCAAAATCGCGATTTAAAACTTAAAAGCTTACGGTTTTGCCTTTTTAGGTCACCAAAATGCTTCTATGTAGAATCGTGATTTTCCCTTACAAATGTAGTCAAAATCTATGTTTTAAAACTTAAAAGCTTACGATTTTACGCTTCTAGGTCACCCACCGCTTCTAGGTAGAATCGCGCTTTTGACTGCATTGCAGTTTACGTCTTCTAACTAACTTCTTTTCATTAGCAAGCAAGCCATAGTCACAACAAGTCTCAAAACACAACAAACACAATGGTTACTGCCTACTGGGTAGGGTTTAGGAGAGGAGAACATGATTACCTTGTCTGAGTTTTTTTTAGGACTATCGAGTACCCAATGACAGTAGACTAATCACTGATTATCTCTATCGCTCGCTCAGTTGCTTTCCAGAGTTTAGTCCTTCAATACCGATTCAAACGAGTCCAACCTAGCCAAAAAAGAGTGAACAACGAACAAAAACAACGTTAGAACAAGATGGCAAGCATGCATGTCTGTATTAACACCACTAACCTAGAAAAAGTCGATGAGTTCAATATCCTTACCCTTGAGACCTAGACTCTGTCTGGATACTCGTCGCAATCTCTCTGTCTTTGCTCACTGTGGACTAGGTCTAGGTGTTCTTGGTAGAAATTTTGAGAAGATGAGGATGGTGAGTTGGTGACTGGTGAGGAACGACCTTTGAAATCCCCCTATATATAGCCACACGAGAGTCAAGAGTCAGTAGAGATCTTGAGGATACAACGAAGATAATCGAAAAAAAAGAAAAGAATCCAGAATTAACTTATTTGTTAACGACGAACAATCAGGGATTTTAACTCCAAACGACTCATTTTTGGGTTGTGCTCGATGAAATTGACGTTGGATGGTTGCTCTTCCAACCATACGATTGATTGAATGGAGGAATCGAAGTGAGATCCTAAGGAAACTAGGAGAGATTCGAGAATTTGGTGAGGAGAAAAGACGAAAAATCGATATTATCTTGCGATCTGATTGTTAATCGCCAGAGAGGAGGCAGAGAGAAAGAAGAAAATTAGGGTATTGGAGTTTTGGTCTGCGAAATGAAGAATGAGGAATGAGGGGAGGCTGCCAGGGTTTCTTAACGTGTAACACAAAATATATATACGGGGGTGAAACAGCGCCGTTCTGGTGCACGGGTAATCCGCTGGGTGGGTTATGGGGCGGATAATGGACGATCCAACCCCACCCGAAACCCAGGGTTGACGGATCATGGGTTCCCCGCCACCCGTTGATGGGTCTGTGTTGCCAGCCCGCTTGGGCCCTTCTCGGTCGGGCTTCAGGCGGGTAACGGCTAATGGACCCCGGCCTGCCATCCCTATTAGAGTTGAAACTGAAAACTAATCTTCTTCTTTAATTGTTGGGTCAGAAGTTCAAACCTAGTTAATCCGATAGAGTTCATCATATTATCAAACATATCTTAGATATGTAGATTACTCGTAAAGATGACTTAATTATTGTTGAATTCACCCAAATAAATGAGTTTATGAACTAATATTACATTTGATGTATAAAAAAATAATTCTAGACCTCTTGTTTTCTATAAATTTTTTATAATCTCGCGCATTCCACTAAGTAGAGTTTCCAATTCTTCTCACACAAGCGCCCACATAAGCCTAATTACATGAATCATCACGCTCCACCTTCTACAAGAATCAAGTATTCTTAATATCTTGTGCATCAAATTATTCTAAATTTGGTCGTCATTACTATAAAAGACGAATTGATTTATGAAAAATGCAACTTTGTCATATCAAAGATCATACACAATAACACAATTTAATTGCCACGAAATCGAGCTCTCCCACTAACTTAAAAACAAAAGAAAAAAAGAGCAACCAACCACTTCACTTACTCCACAAGTTTGGGTCAAAAAATTATAGAACTTATTCCATTGTATTGTGTTGCTATTTATAAACCGAGATTGTCCCAAGATCAAATTGATTGGAACATAGTGATACATTTTATAAATCAATCACAAACCATTAAAGTGATTCCCTATTCGTTGCTAAATAATCATCTTTCCATTAGTAAGGTCAAGGAATTCTCACTAATCACTTCAATAACTAATTATAGAAAAACAAGCCCGACAAAATAGCTCAAAAGAGTACAAACCTCCCATTCCTCCCTTCTCCAATCTTCTTCCCAACTACTACTTAATCATCATTTTACATCTTTTTTTTTATTAATCATACCTTTCTTCTCTTCTTCTTGTCTTGACCTAACATTAACAAAAGATAGTGTTGGTAGTCTTTGGTCCACTCAACAAGGCAAGGAATAGCATATGTTTGCTAGCCTATAATTAATCATAATTTGGAGCCCCCCTCTTTATTCCATTTCCTTGGGAGCCGTTCAAATAACATTAAATAAATTATCACCTGAGGCTGTCCAAAATGGCCTTTAGCAAGTGAGTATCAATTTTCCCAAATCCCATTTTTAATCCTCCATTTAATATATGGTAGAGTTTTGTGTACTTTTCTCAATTTCAAATTTCCTGCAACGAGAGTGAAAATAGGAAGGTCATTTTTGTCTTTACACATTTATTATTTATTTCATATAAAAATAGCAATATCAAGGTTTGAACCTGGGTCTCCTCAAACAAAGATAACAATCACAACCAGTTACACTAAACAAATTTTTTGTATTCTTTTTGATAAAAAAAATAAACAAAGTTAATCTCTGAAAATCAGAGAACTTTTTATCATAATTAGCAAGCTCACTAAGTCTACCGTATTTATTTTTATCGAGCTTGATACTTCTATTTTCATAGTAGAGTTTCATGTAATTTTCTCAATTTTAAATTCCCGCTCTCTCCTTAATTTTTGCTAAAGGTAAATGGGTAATTGGCCAACATGGAAGAAACTAATTATGTAACTACTGTTGTATCCTTGCATTTTTCAATTTAAATTTAAATTTTGTGTTTTTTTTATCTTTGTTCTTTTCTCTTTCTAACTTCCTCCGAAATTTCATCCATCGTGCAATAGTTTGCGCCTTTCGCTTCCCAGTACAAGACTGTCATTGAAAATCAATCTTCAGGTATCTCTTGGCACTACGGTTTTATTGTTGGGGATTTTAAGCTGGGCGAGTAGAAGATTTCAACTCCGATATCAATTCATGGCGAATAGAATGGAGTTCATCAATAACTGAAGTTGTAGAAGGAAGATTAGAAATTGAATTTTTGGTTGAATATATGCCTCTTGAGATAGAAATTTGGTTGTACAATGGAGAGTGGTGGCTATTGGATCTTTAGGTTTATGGTTTTTGCAACTGTCATAACCTATTTCTATCTTAAAACGAGGAATCATTGATTGATTGTTTGAAATAGGTCGCTTCTTTATTCAACCTACTGGAACTAATAGATAAGGAGTGTCTAATTTTGCGCCTTATTACTTTGATCGAGTCTATTCGTATATTGTAGATAACCCTGATTTTTTCGTTTGCTCTCAAGTTGTGATGGTCCCCTCTTAGCTGAGTTTTTACTATATAAATGACTTGAATCAACAACTCTCCATTTCTTTTTGATTAGTGACATATTGTTTCTAAAAGGAGAGCATTGAACCCTTTATATAGGATTGTGAGGTTAAAGATTTAGTTTCAAACTATCTATGGGTTGTGTGAGAATTTCAGTGAGCTTTTATACTCTATATTTCTTGACTGTCAAAAAAAACTAACCAATATCATTTTAACAGGGACTTAATTAGCATTATGAAAATGGGGTCAATGATACATTTTTATATTTTATATTCTTAAATGATTATGATATTTCTCCGAATCTTCGACCTATATATTATTTCTTTATGTATCATCTCGATCGAATGATCATCAATAAAATTAAACGGGTTAATAGACTTAAAAGTAACATAAAAATACAAATAATCAAATATGAGCATTCCGGCCAAAGGGCCGGGTTATAAGCTAGTTATAATAATATAACCATGGATATTCAAGGGGAATTGAACCCGACGTGAATCGAACACGCAACCTTCTGATCTGGAGTCAGACGCGCTACCATTGCGCCACGGATCCACTTGTCGTTATATCTTCTGTAAAGACATAATTATCTAGTTTTGGAGGAGAAACGGCTCTGAAAGGAAGGAGAAGCTGCAAGCAGCTGAATTGTCGTTCCTCCTCCTCCTCCCTGAGGACCCTGACGGTAATCCTTTTCCTAAACCCTAATCCCCCATTTTCGTCTTTGGTAGAGCTCTGAATTCGCTGAAAGAGTGAATGATTATCGTATTCCCCAAATCGGCGCTCTTCTCTTCTTCAGTCTCAGTCCCAGCATGGAAATGGCGGCTCTCCATTTGCCTTCGTTCTCGATTCAGGTACACTTACTGCAACTATCCCCCATCGCTTTTGATTCTCTTCCTTTTCTATTGTTCTCAATTGCATTCTTTCATCTGTAGCCATCTCCGCCATTCCCAAAGCACTGTGTATCTCTAAACACTACGCAGCTCATGACCGAATTCGTGATGTTCCAATGTCCGTCGAGGCGCAATCCTCCAAAATCTGGTTCCCTGATGATTAGACGCCGCTTAGTGAGAGCAGTTAGCGATTCGGGTAGCTCGACGGAAGGAGCAGCAGCTGATTCTCCGGACGAGAACATTGTTGTTACTAGCGATAGCGCTAATGATTCTCCGCCTGATTCTCAGGACGAGAAGGTTCTTGTTACTAGCGAGAGCGCCAATGATTCCCCGGATTCCAAACCCCTCGTCTTCGTCGCCAAATTGCAGGCGGCAATCTCCCCTCTTTCTCCGTTCGTCTCTTCGGTAAACATTTCTGATATCATCACAACGCAAGAATTCTTGTTTCGTAACTTTCCTAACAAGTAACAATTGCCTCGTGGGTTGTCTCAGATGAAAATATATGCTGGAAGTCATAGCAACGTAATCTGGTTATCCACTGCAACTGCATTCTTATTGTTCGTTGCTGTGAGAGTCTACATTGGGGTTACTCGAAAATCGAAGCACAATCGTCCTGGAACTGTGGCTGATCTTGTTAGACGTGGCCAGCTGAGGTCTGATAGAAGAGGCATGTATGGTTCCAGACCCTTTTCTCCCCACTGATGCTGACTCTTTAACTTCGAATCCTTCTCCAATTTCATAAGCTGAACGTAGACTCTTTTTTGTACCATTTGCAGCACAAGGCATCTCCAGTCTGAAATATGAGGACCCGTTCAACAACCCTTATGTGAAACTCGGCAAGAGCAACTCCACGGTGGAGATGTGTGGCAAGGTTTATAAGTTGTCCCCAGTTACACTCACCAAGGAAGAGCAAGCTATCCATCAGAGGAGGAGGTCGAGTAGCTTATGAGTGGAAGAGGCCGACAATGTTCCTCAAGGAAGGCGATTCGATACCACCTGATGTTGATCCCGATTCAGTTAGATGGATCCCTGCGAATCATCCTTTTGCAACTACTGCAAGTGATATTGATGAAAGCATGGCTCAAACTAACGTGTATCAAAAGCATGGTGTTCCGTTTCGTATTAAGGCCGAGCATGAAGCATTGCAGCAGAAACTAGGAGCATTGCAACAGGTAAAAGTGGGTTATTTATGGATGACTATCGGCATTTGTCGAGCTTTGAGTCTTCAATAAACTCGAGTGGTTTTCCTTCTGCAGGATCAAAAGCTCAATAAGTTCTTCATCGATGGTGGCAATACTAAAGAGTACGACAGATCATTGAAGTTGCATCCCAAGTCTAATGAAGCCGTTGATCAAAATCCCTCGGGTAATCAAGAAGGCAACTCGAGTCCCTCCAGCTCTAACAGCTCGTCGAGTTCCTTCAACAGCACATCACCCTCTGATGACCACAGAAACTATGAGTAGCTTTTGCCATTTACCAATTATGCGCTATCCGTTTTGTTTCTTTGCAATCCACTGTGGTCCTTCGCTACGTGAAGCCGTGTAGCTGTCCTTTCAATTGCTGTAGCTCACTTTTGTATGGGATTGTAGCTTCAATAGCTCAGTTGTATGGAAATGTATATATGAAAATTCAGGGATTCGTTCTCACTGTTGCAATGAAATTGCGGGGAGAGTGACATTTCACCACCGTGGAACCAACAAAGGCTCTCTGTCAATGATACAGCATCACCTCAATCGAGTACTCAGACTCTATGAACTTTCACCTATACTACTAACTACATGGCTCTTGCCTTATTAAGAATCAGCGAAAAAAGAACCTATCTTTCTATCACTTTAGTTACAACATTACTAAAATCTTCATCACTCGTTCTTGGCCGCAGCAGCTTGTCTAGCTCCAACTGCAAAGAACTCGGTAATGACCTCTAACGGCATGCCCTTGGTCTCTGGCACCTTCAAGAACACGAAAACCCAAGAAACTGCGCAAACAACTGCGTAGATCCCAAATGCACCACCCAGACCGATTGAGCTCAGCATCACTGGGAGTGTGTATGTCACGATGATGTCACCAACCCAGAAAACCAGCGCGCATATTGCGATGCATAGGCCCCGTACCCTGGTGGGGAAGATCTCGGCACAGAGGATGTTTGGTATGGGCCCATAGGCTGCCACAAAGCAGCAGAAGTAAACTATGACGCAGGTTGTCGAGATGACTGCGTGGATGACGGAGGACAGGTTGATGAGCTCGCTGATGACTAGGATGATGAGGGAGACTATGAGCACTGGGATAGTGGCGAGGAGCAGCGTTCTGCGAACATGAAGTGAAGAGTTCCGTGATCAAATTTTAGGGACTGATTGATTTGTTAGCGGCCCCAAAGTTTAGTGACCATTTATACTATAAGAAGAAAAAAAAGGTGACATTATCCTGATACCTTCTGCCTGAGATATCCATCAGCCGCATGGCGATCGCGATGCATGGAAGCATCAGCAGCGTTGTGAAGGCGCTAATGAGGAAAGAAGCAGATTCTGAACTGATTCCCAAGTTTGAAAGAAGAACTTCTACTCCTGCTTCTTCAAGGATTTGAGGGGTATAGTAAAGAACTCCATTTATACCAGAAAACTGCAACCAAAGAACACCAAAGCAAAATTCAGCCAAGGAAATAACCATAGATAAAAAAGGAGATTAAACACATCAATCAGCACCTGCTGAAGGATCTGAATCCCCATGCCCACTAACAGTGCACTCTTGACCCCAGGGTCGAGCAAAGCAGCCCAAACCGGGCCTTTACCAGCAGTCTCAGAAGGGTGAACCATGGCCGGACCAACCGGATGCTGCTGGTCCATGAGCTCTTTTGAGTAAAGAGCTGGCTGGCTTACTAAAGCGGCTGCCTGAATATAATCACCAACTGGTTCACCGCCATGGATTGATAAAAGTGACCCACGTCGAGATCCAGGAGCACCACCTTCTTGATGCAGGTACACTCTTTTAAACCCTTCTTTCTTCCTACCACCACCCTCGCCTTCTTTCCCGGACCACTGCCACGCCAGCTGCCACCCACCTCCAATCCCAGTGCTGCCCACCGTTTCCCCTTGTCCTTGGAAGAGGCTGCTGTGGCGTCTCACGCCCCCCAAGTTGCTGTCTTTCTCGACATTGGTGGGCTGACGGGAGATCAATGGACTGTGCAATTCATCTTCAGAATCTGCCCCTCCACCACCTCCAGCCTCTGACCTGTAGTCCTCACCTTCTCCATGCAGGCTCTCTTCATCATCCCAATGGTCATGCTTAGGGTGGGGATCTGCAGTGCTAAACATGCTACCGAAGTTTGGGAAGATCATGCTCCTCATGCTTCCTCCTGATTCGGGGAACTTCTCGTGGACACTACCGAAAAGGGTCACGAGAGGGTCCATGAGAGGCACATTCTGGTTCACCATGCTACCCTGGCGAGAGGCAAGGAGGGCGAGAGAGCTCTGTCGTCCGGTCGCTGGCTTGGCAACCCATGATAGTCCTTGTTCAGGGCCGTACAACCTGAATTTGTCCTGTGCCTGATTATCATGAGCAAGGTCATCGTCATCTCCTGGGCCTATTACATACTCCTCTATTGATGTCTCACCTCCTAGACCAAGTCCCTCAACTAGCAAAGCCAACTCACCTGTGGATCAAAGAAAGAATGTTCTTTTAATCCCAAGGAATATGATTGACGGAACAATTAACCACATAGAGTTCAGTTAACATAAGCATACTCATGACAAGAGATTGCATTTTGGGTTTAAAGGCACTTTTCAATTCCGTTGACAAAATTTAACAAATGAGTAGGCCAAAAGGGTCTTTTGTGATGGGAGGCTTAAAAAGAAATACTCTTTCCCACATCCACAATTCATTCCACATAATCATAACCATGGCAATACATCACATTGTAGGTTAGACGAAGACTGCGAATTGGTTAGACCCTAAGCAACAATTAAACATTGAAGATAACATTCTCAATTTCCAGCTACAAAATCTATCACAATCAGGAAACAATAAACTTAACAAGCAAGCAAAATCTAACCTGAAACATCTTCCATGCCACGAAGGCTCTGGAGAACCTGTTTTGCCTCAAGCATCCTCCCTTTACTTACGAGCCAACGAGGCGATTCGGGCAAGTAAAACACAGTCAATGCAAAGTACAACAACGAGGGAATTGAAAGAACCCCGAGCATCAACCTCCAGCTTGGTGAAGCCGACAACGACATAGTGAAAACCATACAATACGACAGGAACATGCCACCTGAGCCAGTGAACTGAGGGAGAGTATTCAGCTGTCCTCGTATATCGGAAGGTGCGATCTCAGATATGTAGAGCGGAACAAGGGTCACAGCCAAGCCAATCCCAAACCCATCTAGCAGCCTAGCTAAACACAGGATGTACACATTGGGCGACCACAGCATGACTAGGCCACTTATGAAGTAGAGACATGATGAAATGATCAGCATAGGCCGTCGGCCAAGCCAATCTGAGATGGGTCCTGAGCATGTTGTGATTGCTGTGGCACCAATAAGAGACATTGCCACAACTAGGCCTTCCACACTGCTGTCTAAATTAAGGTCCTTCTTGATATAAACAATTGCCCCTAGGAAAAGAAAGGACAAATTGATAAAGTTGAACGCTTTTTTTCTTATCAATTATTTTCAGTCTTCGTATATTCTGTAAATGGGCATTACCGGCAATGGTAGCATTATCCCATCCTTGCAAGAAGTTGCCGATACAAGCAGCAATAGCAACGAGGGTAGCTCCGTTCATCTTTCTAACTCGAAACCACAAAACTACAAGGCAAAGTAGCAACCTTTATCAGTAAACCACGAACAACTTCACGAGACGCCGCAGTTGAATTGGTGGATCTGCCAAGAAAAGAACAGAAAACCCAACGTTTTCTCTTATTCAGTAGATGACTCTAAAATGACAGAGACCGATATAAATCGAAGGACTTCCCTAAAAGACTTTCTCCATGCATACCCATTTCAATCCCCCCACTAAATTAGGAGAAAGCTTTGGAAAATGGAAAATGGGTTTTTCTTAAAAAGAGGCAGGAAAGCAAGCATCTTTATGAACACTTTACCTTCTGGCGTTGAATTGCCGGCGAGATTTAGATGGTTAGCCCAAGCTAAAGCAACGGGAGAAAAACTGCGATTAAAATCCAGAAGTTACCCGCCAACAAACCTTCAACGCGGGCAGCAAGGATGAACAGTGGTAAGCCTTTGTAATTGACTTCAAGAGAGCAAAGCCTAGCGCTGGCTTTTCTCTCTTTTCAGTTCAGTTGAATGGAACTGCGGCCTGCAGTACTGAAGGCGCTATGCTATCTGAATGACAGGAGAGAGCGCTAGAACATGGGAACTTTGTCTGTATCTGTCTCGAAAATGAAAAAAATAAAAACCAAGCTTTTTTGTTTAAGGAAAGTGTTTTTACTTTTTATTCTGTTTTGGTTTTTGGATTGAAGGAAAGTGCAGATAATGAGAGTATGGATGGAGGGAAGAAGAGGGAGAGGCCAAGGTTGTGGCCTGTGGGGATGGAGAACCTTTGCTACCTAGTGAATCTATTATATGCCTATGCTTTTGTCATGTGCCTTCCAACCAAATCTACTCATATATTTTAATATATATGTTTGAACGGTAGAGATATATCGATCACTTGCAGTGATGAAGTTGTGATCGAGAAATTTATTATAAATTCAAAAAGTATATAAATTTTAATAATAATTATGGATCACAATCATTCATATTATTCGGGACTGAAAACTGTTAAATTTAAATTGGATTGAATTAAATTGGATTGTTGGTTGATAGAAAAACCAATTACAAATTTCTACGTGACCCTTTTTGAGTCACATTGACATGGATGAATTGATGCATACAATAGCTATAGCTAGTGGAGGATCTAGAAGGAGGCCTCCCTTGGCCAGGACTCAGTTCATCTCTTCCAATTCAGTGCTAGTTGATATCTCATTTTTTATTCAAATGCGACCCAGTACCCTACTATATCCTGAATCTGCCGCAAACTATAGCTAGTTTTCTTCACATCTAAAACTAAAGCTTCGAGTAAAACTACAATCTTGACACTTAATGTTTGATTATAGATAGTAAACTACAATCCTTGTTGCTTAGCCAACTAATAAGAAGCATGATGACAAAAATGTTACCAACTAATAACTCTATTATTAGTTCATTACACAATGCTTCCAAGTGGGGGTGGGGGGGGGGGGGGGGGGGGGGGGAAGAGAACCCTCGGCGGCAAGTGATTGGAGGGGTTCGTGGGATTGGTTATGTTTTTAGGTTTGTGTCTGTTTCGTCCCCTTGATTAGTGGGACGATGAAAAGTGGAAAAAAGGGTCGATGGCGAAAGGCTGGAATAGATATTTTGTGCATTGGGACAAAAAGTACAAATATATGTTACTTCATCATAGGAGAAAAGGAAATGGTACGTTTTCTTTAGCATATATCATGGAGGGGAAGGTGAATGTGTCTCCGTGTCATTATTTGATTGTTTGTCCAATACTCTCTCTGCTAGCTTACCTATGATGGGATGAAGCCACATGATTTCACGATGTGAAATTTTGGGGATATGATTGAATGATAGTCCAAGAATGGACCATATGGTGTAGAGTCTACTTCGAGAATTCGTTCCTCGAAAACAAATTTTTGCCATCAATTGTTAGATCATGTGTACGAGTGTTGAATTAATTTTGTGAACAGATATTATCCGTAAGCTTTGTTTTGAATGGAATAGTGAGAGGAAACAACGGAAAAGAAAGAAAAAAAAAAACAAAGATATTTGAGATTGAAAAGTTAAAGTGAGATACATGATGGACTAGATAGTAATTAAGTTTTTATTAGTTTAAATGCTACAATCATCACTTGGATATTATATCAATCTTGGCTTCATAATTGAAGTCAGTGAAGTTCAGCTAAAGTACTTGTCAGCATCTTCTTTACAACTATGGTTGTAATTCTTGTTTGTTGTTTTCCTAATGCATCAAAGGCCTACTTCCAATCAAGGAGACGCAGCAAATCTAAATAGTGCATTTGTGAATTTGGTGTAAATGTTTAGGTTCAAAATCACTTTTGAGCGGTTTGGATAGGGATTGTGGTGAGAGATTTCACAAAATCTGTCAGAGCGCTCTGGATTTTATTATAATAATTATGTGTAAAATTTGAGGGGATTTTGACGTGTATAGAGGGAAGGTACAACCCTTTAGGCTCGAATGATGATGATGTTCGGGATGCTTGAATATCTCCAATACCATGTACCATTGTTATAGCTCAAGAGGCTCACACTTAATGATGTGCTACTTCATTGCACTTCATTAATTAGTTGGTGGCATGAAGCGAAAGGACGCATTATAAGTCGATATATTACATCAATATGTATGGGACAAATTTTTTGGATCAAATATACCGCCATCTACCAAAGTGGTAGTAGGATGACAGTAGATGGTGGCTAGTATATTCATACTACCATGTACCACCATTCTACACCATGATATATTCCTACCGTCATGGTATATTTGTATATACCACCATGGTTATGGATGACAATGGGTCTGGTTGGATTGAGCTTCTCCAAACCCAAAATTGTGGATGCATCCGCCAACAAAACCAGTGCAATACCCACTAGATTTTGGAGGAGAAAAAAACATAGATTTATAGGTACCCATGGGTTGATGGATATAACTGCAAATAATTTTTCCTCGCACTCACATTCTTTATTATCGAGAATTTTCCAACAAGTATATTGCCAAAAAACTAATAACATCCATAAATTATTCATGTTACTAGTATTATAGTGACATAAAAACTAATAACATCTATAAATTGAGCACTTCTACTATGCTATAATGCATTGGTGCTTTAATGTGCAACTTGAAATCGTACCCATTGGCGTAGCCAGCAAAATGTAATAGTGGGGTCCAAAAAATTTATAAAAAAACCACAATAATTTATTCATCAAATGATCTTATTGTCAAACAAAAGCATTTGTCCAATAATAAAAGCATCCGTCCAATTGTATCTAAAAGAACATGTTCACCAAAAGAAACAAAGAGAAGAAAGGTCTAGCCAGGTCTACAATGAACCACGACGGGTTTTCATATTCTGAAAGTACTCTAAAATAGATTCCTTATCTAAACCATCCAGTATGTCTCTCTCAATGTACCCAACTAAGCAGTCATTCATCCAAGCATCGCCTATCCGATTCCTCAGCTTGCTCTTGATGTAGCTCATTGCAGAAAAAGCTCTCTCCACACTTGCAGTTGCAACAGGTAAGATTAGAGCTAGCTTTACAAGCATATACACCAAAGGATATGATAGATGCTTATTTGTCTTCACCATCTTCTTAGAAAGGTCTGCAATTGATGTAGGACAGACCACCGAAAGATTATGTTCGTTATCGTACGAACGGACGAATGAACGTTAGTTCAATAGAAAGGGAAACAAACAGAAATATTTCTTTAACTTTGTTCTTTATTCATATATCTCTGCCCTTCTGTCATTCCTGACTTGTTTTATATACAAGTTACAGGAATAACCGAAACAGTGAGGGAAAAGATGAAGGGACACACCCCTTCACCCCCTTAAAACAAGTAACTGTCATAACTGACATAGGGATACAGAGGATTAGATAGGAGATATAGATATATATATTTTAGATAGGCGGTTAACTGATGCCGCATCATTCCCTTCCACTTGAGCTCAAACCGTCTCGGATTGATCAGCAGAGTAGTAAGGAGACAGATCTGCAACATTGAAGGTGCTGGAGATGCGCATATGAGCAGGGAGGTCAAGGACATAGGCATTATCATTAATCTTCCGGAGAACTTTGAAAGGTCCAATCTTCCGCGGGTCTAACTTATGCTGACTTCCACCGCGCTCTTTGCGTAGATAGACCATCACCAAGTCTCCCACTTGATAAGTTTTAGCACGACGACGATGACGATCAGCAGCAAGCTTGTAACGAGCAGTTGTGTGTTCTAACTTCTGCTTCACTTGTGCAATGATATCTACATGGGACTGAGCAAACAGATCAGCGGCGTCACTGTTTTTCAAGCCGTTGGGCAGCTTGATGAGATCAAGAGTAGTTGCAGGGATGCGTCGATAAACTACAGCAAATGGAGCCATCTCGGTGGCTCGGTGTGGGGCACTATTGTAGGCGAACTCTGCTTGAGCCAATGCAAAATTCCATTGTCGTTGGTTTTCAACACACAAACACCGTAGCAAGTTACCCAAGGTTCGATTCACAACTTCTGTTTGACCATATGTTTGTGGATGGGCAGTGCTGCTGAACTTCAATTCGGTGCCAAATCGCTTCCATAAGGTAGACCAAAACACAGCCAAAAACTTGGGATCGCGATCAGAAGTGATGGATCGAGGAATCCCATGAAGGCGAACTATTTCTTGGAAAAATAGCTTTGCGATATGCGGTGCGTTGTTGGTCTGTTTACAGGGAAGGAAGTGAGCCATCTTGGAGAAGCGATCCACCACAACAAAGATGGAATCGGCTCCTCGTTGAGTGCGAGGTAATCCCAGAATAAAGTCCATTGACAAATCTTCCCACGGCTGATCAGGAATTGCTAGCGGCATGTATAGGCCGGTATTCTGAAGATGACCCTTTTGGGTTTGACAAATAGAGCATTGGCGAACAACCCGACCAGCATCTCTTTTCAACTGTGGCCAATAATACCGTTCTTCCAATCGAGCAATTGTCTTGTCACGTCCCAAATGGCCTTGAAGTTTCCCGGCGTGGAGTTCCCTGACGAACTTTTCACGCAACGAGGTTCGAGGGATACACAACCGATTGCCTTTAAAGAGATAGCCTTCTTGCACTGTAAAATCTCCAAGGGGCTGCTTCTCCATGTACTTAGACCAAGTGGTGCCAAAATCTGGATCGTCGACATAGAGTTCAGGAAGGAAACTAAATCCAACAACTTCATGGCTGGTGGTGAGAAGAATGTTTCCCCGTCGACTCAAGGCATCAGCAACCTTGTTTGAAGATCCAGATTTGTGTTTAATCACGTAATTAAACTGTCCAAAGTATGCTGCCCAACGAATATGAAGTTTATTTTTCAAAGTTCGTTGAGTTCTAAAGTGAATCAAAGCTTGATGATCGGTGTAAATGACAAACTCTTTAGGGAGAAGGTAATGCTCCCAATGCTTGAAGGCCCGGAATACAGCAAACAGTTCTTGATCATAGGTTGCCCAATTCACCCTTGTTTCATTGAGCTTCTCGCTGAAATAAGCCACCGGACGGCCCTCTTGTGACAACACTCCACCGACACCTACTCCGCATGCATCACATTCTACCTCGAACACCTTATCAAAGTCAGGCAAGGCGAGAACCGGGGCAGAAGTGAGGCGTTGTTTGATCTCTGCAAAAGCACGGGCAGCAGCAGACGTCCATTGAAAAGGACGAGCTTGCTTCAAGCAATCGGTAATAGGAGCAACTATACTGCTGAAATTACGGATGAAACGACGGTAGAATGTGGCCAAACCATGAAAGCTTCTTATCTCAGTGATGGTTGAAGGTGTTGGCCAGTCAACAATGGCTTGAATCTTTTGTGGATCCACACGTACTCCATTTGCACTGATTATATATCCCAAAAACAGCACTTGCTCCATCATGAAGTGACATTTCTTGAGATTAATATACAACTCATTCTCATGAAGTGTCAACAAAACTTTACGCAAATGGCCTTCATGTGCTTCTTCACTGCTACTGTAAATCAGAATATCATCAAAATACACAACAACGAATTTGTTGAGGAAGGGTTTAAGCACCTGATTCATAAGCCGCATAAATGTGCTGGGTGCGTTGGAGAGACCAAAAGGCATCACAAGCCACTCGTATAATCCTTCTTTGGTCTTGAAGGCGGTCTTCCACTCGTCCCCCGGACGGATGCGAATTTGGTGATACCCACTTGTCAAGTCCAGTTTTGTGAAAATTACCGATCCCGATAGTTGGTCCAACATGTCATCCAATCGAGGAATAGGAAATCGATATTGCACCGTGATTCGGTTGATGGCCCTACTATCCACACACATTCTCCACTGGTTCCCCTTCTTTGGCACTAGTAATGCTGGTACAGCACAAGGACTTAAACTTTCTCGAACGTGTCCAAGCTGTAACAATGCTTCAACTTTCTCCTGAAGTATTTTTGCTTCTTCGGGATTAAGCCGGTAATGAGGTAGATTGGGTAGTCGAGCGCCAGGCACAAAATCAATGTGATGCTGGATATCTCGTAAAGGCGGCAGCCGAGTGGGTTCAGAAATGAGTTGGGGGAACTCAGCCAACATTTCTCGAACAGATTCCGGCATTGTTGCTTCTCCGTAATCAGGTTTAATAACCAGCCCATACACACCTCCACAGCTTCTTACTTTAGAAGTAGAAAAGTTACTTGATTCTATCAATGATAAGAAGATCTGCCCTTCCACTTTAGATGAAAGCTTAGGACTGCCCAATGGTGCGACAACTATTGTTTTCTGCTGCCATTGGAATGTGTATGTGTTCTCTCGGCCTCGGTGCATCGCATCCACGTCGTATTGCCAAGGTCTTCCTAATAAAACCTGACAAACATCCATATCAACAATGTCACAGAATATGTTATCAGAATAGAACTTCCCCATGGCTAGAGGAATTTTGCATCTTTGCTTCACCAACATTTTTGGCCCCTTTTGAATCCATCCAATTTGATATGGAGTGGGATGGTCTTCTGCTGGAAGTTGGAGCTCTTCAACTAGTTTTCGAGAGACCAAGTTTTCGCAGCTGCAACTGTCAATAATTAGGCTGCATATTTGAGTAGCAACTCGGCACTTTGCTTGGAAGATCCGTTTGCGTTGGCTGGCATCTTCTTGTGGTGAAGAGCAAAGTGTCCGTTGAATGACATAGGTGGCCTCTTCATGTTCATCTCCGCATATGTCATCAACATCATATTCAGGTTCTGGGTCCTCAACATCATTGGAGTTATCTTCAGACAGGTTACCCACCACGTGCACTGGCTTTCGATTGGGGCACTCATTGGACTTATGCCCAGGCTGATTGCATCGGTAACACCTCCCTGTCGTTGGATGTTGGTAGGGATTTTGATTGTTGGGGCGAGGAGCAGTTCGAGGGGCTGTTGGCACTTGAGCGGCAGCGGCTGGAAAGCGCCTGCTTTCCATGTGTGGTGCTGTTGTTTGGTGGGCAGCAGTGACACGCGAAGAACTGGTTTCAGATGGTCGAGGCAAAGGAGATTCTCGATGGTTTCGTCGGGGATATGTCAAGAGAGGTTGCTGTGGAATCAGACGCGCCTCTGCTCGTGCCGCCATCTCTCGAGCATCCATTAGGGACATGACTGCCTGAACACCAATGTGGTCCTGAATCTCAATTTTCAGCCCCCTAATATAACGAGCAACTTGTAGGTCATCGTCTTCTTGAATATTGCATCGAGCTGTCAAACGCAGGAATTCTTCCGTATAGTCAGAGACGGAACGACTCCCTTGTTGACAATCAAGCAATTGGCGGTACAGATTCTGAGTATAATCCCGAGGAAGAAATCGTTGTTGAAGAAGTTCTTTCATCAGCGGCCACTCTCGAACTGGTTGTTGACGAAGACGGTAGCGTTCTTCCCTTATATTCTGCCACCATGCTCCTGCTCCCCCTCGTAACTTGTATGCGACAATCGACACCTTCCTTTCATCGCTAATCTCCATAATTTCGAAAAAACGTTCAACTTCATTAAGCCAATCGAGAAAAGGCTCAATCTCCAGGCTACCACTAAAGATTGGGATTTCGGCCTTGATTCGGTACCAATCGCGATCTTCCCGGTGCGGCTGTGGGTTGAGAACCCTGTGATTATGGGGCTGATCTTCAACACGTAAGGCGGCTAGTATTTGTTGTAGGGATTGAGTGATACCGGCAACTTGTTGTTCCAAGTTGTCGAGGCGTTCGTTTTCAGCGGCCATCGTCCTCTAATTGTTTGCAGCAGAAACAAATGGATTGCAACTTGTAGAAAAGTTGCAGAAACCTTTGCTCTGATACCAACCTGATGTAGGACAGACCACCGAAAGATTATGTTCGTTATCGTACGAACGGACGAATGAACGTTAGTTCAATAGAAAGGGAAACAAACAGAAATATTTCTTTAACTTTGTTCTTTATTCATATATCTCTGCCCTTCTGTCATTCCTGACTTGTTTTATATACAAGTTACAGGAATAACCGAAACAGTGAGGGAAAAGATGAAGGGACACACCCCTTCACCCCCTTAAAACAAGTAACTGTCATAACTGACATAGGGATACAGAGGATTAGATAGGAGATATAGATATATATATTTTAGATAGGCGGTTAACTGATGCCGCATCAGCAATTCCTTTCAGTTCTCTAAAATCTTCATATGACATCATATTATAAATATATGTATCCAGCTGATCATCTAGGCATGAGATATCCACATCTGAGAAGTCTCTATGATAAAACGTGGCAAGCTTCAACAACATCTGCTTCTTAAAAGCACTAAATAAATTATCAGGAGTCAAGCAAGCCACACAACATAAGAGTTCAATGTTCACCTCATCAAAACGACTATTAAGCTCTTGCAGCTGCATATCCACCACTATGTAAAATAACTCAACCTGGAATGATGCAAATTTTTGATTCGTTGAGAATTCCTCCTTGATCTTCCTAGAGGAACGCAAGTACCATTCATATCAGAAATAGGCAGACGTTCTTAATTTGTTGCAGAAAGACAACACTTCATTCAGAAGTGGATCCCATCCTTTATCCCTCATGTCTTGCAATCTACTCTTTGCAGTACGAACAAGTGTCATTGCATTGACAATATATTGATCTTTCCTTTGCAATGCCAAAGACAACTCATTTGTGATTGCTAGAACTTTAGTCATCATTCTCAAGATGAAAGCAAATTCAAAGGTCTGAATTAAAGTTAACATAGCAACGACTTCACCTTTTGCTTCAGAAGTTCCCTCATTCCGAATGACCTCCAAACCATCAATCACAGCTGTGAACATCAAAGTCAAATTAACAAGAGTACCATAATGTGATCCCCAACGAGTATCACCTGATATTTTCAGCCCGATCTCTTGATTTAAACCCCGACCACTCTCTGCTTCACCACGAGCCAAAGAATCAGCAACTTTGACAGTATGGCTCTCCCGAATAGTATCCTTTCTTTTACAAGACCCACCAACCAAATTGAGCAAGTTACCAACAGTAGTAAAGAAACAACTAACATCACCATGATTTTGGGCAACAGCAACAAGTGTCAACTGAAGCTGATGGGCAAAACAATGAACATAGTATGCAGATGAATTTTCTTCCAAAATCAATGTTTTGAGTCCATTAATTTCCCCCTTCATATTGCTAGCTCCATCATAACCCTGCCCCCTAATTCTTGTCAAGCTCAATCCATGTCTTATAAGCATTGACTCAATTTCCTTCTTCAGTGTCACTGCTCTAGTGTCTGAAACATGAGACACACCAAGAAATCTCTCTACAACACATCCTTGCCCATTTACATAGCGCAAAACAATGGCCCTTTGTTCTTTAACAGACACATCACGAGACTCATCCACCAGAATAGCAAAAAAAAAATCATCCCCAATATCCTTCAAGATTTTCTTGGTTGTTTGAGATTCTATTGCATGAAAAATATCTTTCTGTATGTCTGGAGAAGTCATTTGGAGATTTTTAGGAGCATTTCCCAACACAACTCTCTGTACAGCTTCTCTACCTCGAGCATGAAAATCTAGAAGTTCAAGAAAGTTACCTCTGTTTCTTGAAGAATCTGATTCATCATGCCCACGAAGTGCCAATCTATTGCGTATAAGAAATATGATGCAGTCAACTGTAGCCTCCAAACAAATCATGTAATCTTTCTTGGCTTGATTCGACTATTTGTAGAGGGCAACTTGGATACTTTGTGACTGTTTCATCAGAGCCTCACAATTTCTTGAAGCTATATTGTGTGGACTATTAGGACCACCAACATGAGTATCCAACCTCCCAATATTCTTATTCCAACTATTGAAACCTTCTCAAACAAAATCATCACTTCCACCCTTGTTGCTGATCTCACTTCTAAATAAGTAGCAAGGCAAACAATATACAATATCTTTGACAACACTGTACTCTATCCACGAGTACTTATCATACCAAGAAGGATTAAATCTCCGTTTCCTTCCACCAATATCTCTAAAGGGAAATTGATGCAATCGAGGTTGACATGGTCCATTTTGAAGATAAGCTCTTCTAATCTCATCATGAACATTAGGATGGAAGGAAGTTACCGGTAGTCTTAACCCTGGATCAGCTTGCAAGGAATTGAGATCAACTTTCTGATTTGTAGCTGCAGAGGGAGACTCGTGTGGTTCTGGATGGATATTGGAAGCTCCGTTATCTTCAGGAACTACAGGATTAGGGGCTGGGGTAGTCTTTGCTTTCTTTGCAAAGTAACGCTCCATTGTTTGAAATCTACAAAATTATTGAGCATGATATCAATCAATATAAAATTTACTATTCAATTGGTACACTATTATTTATAGGCATAACAACAGATTCTTCTTGAAACTTGAACAATATGTGGACATGAATGAAAAGAAACAATAAAACTTATACATGCATAAAATAGTCAACGTAAATACAATACTATTATTAGCTTAGTTGTTTGAATTGCGAGTTACCTTTGGTCTTTGGCTCTTAGATTTCTCGGCCGAAGTTCAAATTAGAAGACTTGATGTCCTCTAGTACTGTTGTTGCTTGCGTCTCAAACTTAGAAGAGAGGAGGACAAGATTTGGAGGGGACTCGGCAGCGGAAACGACAATGAATGGGGAGGCAAAAGGTCGGCGCTGCACAGAGAGTTTCTACGAGCTCGTGTATGGGAAGGGATTCTTTTGGGGCGGCAGTAGGCAGAGAAAAGTATATTTGATTAGGGATTAGTAAATTAGTTTAATCTGCTGCGATGGTCAAGTCGTTTAACTTAAGTAATATAAGAGTAATGAACACACTGTAGGTAGTTGTCCTAGTGGTAAGGCATGTAATATTGGTAAGATGGGGTCCATGGTTCAATTCTCATGCTTGCCCCCTGCCCCCTCTAATACCAGTATTTTTTGAATGTCACCCTAAAATCCAATTGGGATCCACTGACCCCACACCATTCCATGTGCCTCCGCCAATGATCGTACCATAGAGTTAAATGTATAAGTTTAGGTTGTACCATGAAGAAATTTGTACCCTTATGTTATTGTTTACCCATAAAAAAATCAGCTTGTACCACATCGATTAATTACAAGGGGATTAATGGATTTATAAGGCCAGCTCAACATTAATGATTAAAAGAGCCAGTTGGGCCTAGCTGGGTTGGATTTTTGGGCCTAAGTGGCCAACCCCCTTCTCCTCTATACGATGACCGACCCGTCTCCGAGGCCCCCATAGCCGACGATACCTCCACCCCTTAGTATGAAATTTGGCCTACAACAACTAAGTCTTGGAAACAAGGCGGCACAACGGGGTGCCAAACAAGGCGACACAAAAACTAAGTCTTGAAATTTGGCCTACAAAAACTTAGTTTCTGGAGCTCTCACTGAAACTCCATAGGAGTAGGAGTAAAGTAACGTAGCTTGTTCCCAAAAAAACCATCAAAAACATCAAACACCCTCGTTCGAACATTGTTCGGAGAGGTGTGAACCGTGTTTAGAATCGTTGTTCAAGAAGTCAAAGGTGCATTCATTGAGTTGTAACACCAGTTTTTCCTCGCCGAAAAACAAATTGGCTTTGCACTTGGTCGCCAACTCCTTCACAACTCCTACTGAAATATCACCTTCCTATTCTCCCAGTCATGGAGACATCAAATCAAACACACAGAGTCCCACCAGGTATGCCAATTTGTTTTCCGACGAGGAAAATCTGGTGTTTGAACTCAATAAATGCACCTTGACTTCTTGAACAACGATTAATAACACGGTTCACACCTCTCCGAACAATGTTCGAACGAGGGTATTTGATATTTTTGATGGTTTTTTGGGAACAAACTACGTTAATTACTCCTACTCCTATGGAGGTTCAGTGGGAACAAACACCCTCGTTCGAACATTGTTCGGAGAGGTGTGAACCGTGTTTAGAATCGTTGTTCAAGAAGTCAAAGGTGCATTCATTGAGTTCTAACACCAGTTTTTCCTCGCCGAAAAACAAATTGGCTTTGCACTTGGTCGCCAACTCCTTCATAACTCCTACTGAAATATCACCTTCCTATTCTCTCAGTCATGGAGACATCAAATCAAACACACATAGTCCCACCAGGTATGCCAATTTGTTTTCCGACGAGGAAAATCTGGTGTTTGAACTCAATAAATGCACCTTGACTTCTTGAACAACGATTAATAACACGGTTCACACCTCTCCGAACAATGTTCGAACGAGGGTATTTGATATTTTTTATGGTTTTTTGGGAACAAACTACGTTAATTACTCCTACTCCTATGGAGGTTCAGTGGGAACAAACACCCTCGTTCGAACATTGTTCGGAGAGGTGTGAACCGTGTTTAGAATCGTTGTTCAAGAAGTCAAAGGTGCATTCATTGAGTTCTAACACCAGTTTTTCCTCGCCGAAAAACAAATTGGCTTTGCACTTGGTCGCCAACTCCTTCACAACTCCTAGTGAAATATCACCTTCCTGTTCTCTCAGTCATGGAGACATCAAATCAAACACATAGAGTCCCACCAGGTGTGCCAATTTGTTTTCCGACGAGGAAAATCTGGTGTTTGAACTCAATAAATGCACCTTGACTTCTTGAACAACGATTAATAACACGGTTCACACCTCTCCGAATAATGTTCGAACGAGAGTATTTGATATTTTTGATGGTTTTTTGGGAACAAACTACGTTAATTACTCCTACTCCTATGGAGGTTCAGTGAGAGCTCCAAAAACTAAAAGATACGACTATGGCTACATTGGGGAAAGGATAAAATTTGACATGTGCGTAAAAAATTTGGTTGTGTAACCCTTTTCCCGTCTTCGTTTATCCTATTTATAGCCACCGGGTGTAACTGCCTTGGTAACTGATAGCCGGCTTGTTGCTCCAACCGCCTTAGGGACCCCTTTTCGTTGCCTTGGTTGCCAATTGGTAACCGTTGTCTTGGTCTTCACCTCCATTTCCTTGGAGCTCTTTGACCCATCTTGTTGACTGGTTGGTATCCATTGCCTTGCAGGCCCTTGTCCCGTCTTGGGGTTGGTGGGTACTTGACGGCTTTGATGCCGGGGCGGGTTGGTGTTGAGCATTATCGCCCTGTCATAACTGGATGGGGTTGAGGCTCTTGCCTTAGCCTCCATGAACCATGATGAGTTCTTGATCTCACCCTTGGCTGCTTGATGACTCCCCACTCTTATCGTCTCGAGACCGTTACCACCTCATGACACCAAGTCCTCCTCATTAACTTGTTGGTTGTACCAAGCCGTCTAATCGGCTTGATACCTTCGGGCATGCCATCAATCCCATGTAATCAACTTGGCACCCCTTGCTACCAAGTCAGCCCGGGTGGCTTGGTCTCCATACTTAGTTTTTTGTAGCTTCGTCAAGGTGGTAAGTTGCACCCTGCCGGTTTGGTGCCCTGTTGAGGTGCTACCAAGCCCGTCTTGGGAATTTATCTCCATATGGCCCCATAAGGGCTCAACTCTGCATCATGGATCCATCCATGGCTGTTTGGTACCTAGTTGGGTGGCAAACTCAGTTAGCCTCCATGCCTTGGTCGAATTTCTTGTCTTGTTGGCTTGATACCGTGACGTCTGGCTATCAAGTCCGTCATGTCGGCTTGATACCCCCTAGGGTTCATGGTACCCTGTCGCCTTGCTTGGCTGCCAGCTTGGTAGGGGGTCTTTGTACCGAGGTTGCCTTGCCGACCTGGTACCCCCTTAGCTCCATACCACCTGGCCATGGGATTCCATACTAAGCCCATTTTCATGTCTTTTGGTATCAAGCCCGCCCTGTCGGCTTTGATACCCCTTCGGATACATACTTGGCCAAATTCATATTTTTTCATGCCTTGCCGGCTTGGTACCATGTTGGCTCTATATTTAGCCAAATTCCATGTCTTGGTAGCAAGCCCGCCTTGCCAGCTTGGTACCCTCTTGGCCCTATACTTTTGCCAATTTTCATATGTCTTAACACCAGGCCTCCCTTGCCGGCTTGGTACCCCCATTGGCTCTATACTTAGCCAAATTCTATGTCATAGTATCAAGCCTTGCCTTGTCGGCTTGATACCCGTCGTTGACCCCCTTACTTGGTACACAGTCATTTGGCACCCCATCGTGTCCCCTTGTTTCCAGAATTAGTTTTTGGATGGCCTCCTATTTGGTATCCAGCTTGGTACCCGGTCGTTTGGCACCCTGTTGTGTCGCCTTGTTTCCATACTTAGTTTTTGGGAGCCTCCTATTTGGTATCCGGCTTGGTACCCCGTTGTATGGCACCCCATTGTGTCGCCTTGTTTCCAAGACTTAGTTTTTGGATGACCTCCTATTTGGTATCCGGCTTGGTACCCGGCCGTTTGGCACCCCGTTGTGTCGCCTTGTTTCCAAGACTTGGCCCGTTTAGTATTGTTGCTTGTTTTTGTTTCCTGTTGTGTTTTAAGAAATTTGGAAAACCAAGAAAAAAAATCGTGTTTAGTTGGGATTTTATTTTTTGTTGTGAATCAGAGTTTCACAACAAGGTCCAAATATGAGAAACAACAATTTATAGCTTTGGATATGATTCTTAAACATGTTGCACACGGGATTCCTACTGGTTGGGCGCTTGATTTCATTAAAACAGACCAGTTTTCGAATCCCCACAGAAGCAATTTTTTTTTAACACCACCCCCAAACCCTACTTACTTCAACCGCCCCCAACCTCTCCATTTTCTCTCGAACACAGGCCCCGCTCTCCCCCTCCAGCCATACACGCGGGCGCCTTCTCCCCACTCCAGCCATAAACCCCGACCACCTCCGCGCCTCCCGACCGGCCGCCTCCGCCCTCCGACCCTCCGCCTCCGCGCCTCCCCTTCTCAACAGCCGCCGCTGCGACCTCCCCTCCCCTGCTCAACAGCCGCCGCAGCGCCTCCACTGCTCAACAGCCTCGCCTGCCCAGCCGCCGCCCGACCCTGCCGCTGCCCGCCCAGCCGCCGCCACTCCGACTCCCCTCTTTTTTCCGGTTTTTAGTTCTTATAGTAGTAACTAAACGCGTTTTTGTTTCTTGTTTTCAGCTTTCAAGATTTTTCAAATTTATCAACTAAACATGTTTGTGTTTTCTGTTTTTTTCCTGTTGTGGTTGTACATCTGTTTACACAACACCACTGCAACAACAACAGCAACAAAATGATATTAAACGGGCCCTAGTTTTTGTAGGCCAAATTTCATACTAAGGGGTGGAGGCATCGTCCGGCTATGGGGGGCTCGGAGACGGGTCGGCCATCGTATAGAGGAGAAGGGGGTTGGCCACTTAGGCCCAAAAATCCAACCCAACTAGGCCCAGCTGGCTCTTTTAATCATTAATGTTGAGCTGACCTTATAAATCCATTAATCCCCTTGTAATTAATCGATGTGGTACAAGCTAATTTTTTTATGGGTAAACAGTTATGGTACAACTTTACAACTTAAAGTTGTACCGTCACATAAAGGTACAAGTTCAAGTTGTACCATAAAAGAATTTGTACAAAACAGTATAGGTACAATCTGAAGTTGTACCATAACGTTAAAAGTACAACTTCGAGTTGTACCATAAAGGCAAAAACTTATAGCACCAATGCTACATAGCATTGTAAAATTCCTCCTATAAATTATCCATATTGTTGAGGTTAGATACAACACAATATCATTTTACTTTACAGGTTCGGGTAGAGTGGAAGCGGATAAGGTTTTGGCATGGTATTAAAGTCTTTTGTGACCGAAAGGTTTTTTGTTTGAATCCCAATGACTTCCATATATTTTGTTAAAACATTATAATCGAACTTGTGCAAACTTCAAACTCATGTATGTTTGATTTTTATTTGAGAAATCAACTGGTTGTATGATGGTTATTGATGTACAAGCTACGGCAGGGAAATGAAGTAATTACTAGAGTCGACACATGGATGAGCATGAGCAGAGTCGGGAGAGGCACATGGTGGTAGGGGTGTCAGTTCGGGTCGGGTTCGGTTACCCAAACCGAAACTTGAAAAAACCCGAAAACCCAAAACCGAAAATCTCTAAAATCGAATCCGAACCCGATAAGGACTTGCGGGTTCCGGTTACCCGAAACTAAAAAATTCCTTATCGGGTTCGGGTTTGGTTAAAGCAAAACCGAAACCCGAAAACCCGAACGCCTAAAAATACGGGCTGAGTTCTATTCATTGGAGGTTTTTAGCCGAAACCCGAAAAACCGATAAGCAAAACCGAACCCGAAACCCAAAACAAACCCGAACCCGAAAAACTGAAAATGTATATAATCGGGTCGGTTTCGGGTAAACCCGAATAGACACCCCTACATGGTGGGCTTTAGATTCTTTGTTGAACATCACATGATGGGCAAGTCGAGCCCATTAATTGTCTATATTTTGTAACAAATTATTGCATATGTCACTCATGTGACCCTCGAAAAACATGAAGAGTCATCGATGGCTCTCCACTCTCGTATCGTGTTGGGAGAGTTAATGATGTTTTCTTGGAACTGGTTGTAACGAGAAACGTTGACACACAAATATTTTTATCTTATTAATTAATCACAAAAATCAATTTATTTTCACGAATATAACATTTCTATACAATTACAACAACCGATTAGGGCCTGCTTACTTTCATTTCTGTTTCCTGTTTTTGAGAAAACAGATGTTGAAAACAGATGAAAACAACATTTTGTCATTTCCGAAAACAGCAGGAAGTTGCCACTTTCTGTTTTCATAGTTGGAAACGAATAGAAAACACTATGAAAAGTAAACAAGTTTTCTCATTTCGGTTGCCAAATTTATCACATGAAAACAGAAAACAGGAAACGAAAATGGAAGTGAACAGGGCCTTAGTTGTTCGTAATCTTAATCTTATCACAGCTTGCACCAACAATCTTATTCGTGTTACGAGATACTATATTCACCTTTTTATTTTCTTCATTTTTCCTCTTGAGTCAAATTGACTTCTTAAAATGGATAACGAGGGCAGTACAAATTATATAATTGTGGAAACATGGTACTAGGAAGTGCATTGAAGGAGTCAAAACTCTTATGTGTGATGTGTCTTGCTACCACACACAAATTGGTGGACATTGATCATTCCCCCTTCCTAGTTCCTACACCATCGGCATTGCTCTTAGAGGGTAAATCACAAACGGTATAAATGCAGAATATACATAGACGAAGCCCTTGAGCTCTCCCAAAACCAAGAACACATTCACATCCATTCATCATAATTATATAATAATAATTGACGGTGAGATTAACAGCTGATTAACCGATGGACAGAGCGGAAGATCTACTGAATAGCGGGAACAGCCTGCAACTGCGGAGGGACAACGAGAGCCAGGCCGGGAACCAGGCCCGGCGAGAAGAGAATGCCGACCAATCCAAGCCCAACGTAGATGGGGTTCCCATGAAGAGCAGTCCATATGTGAAGTACTCCAATCTGGAGGACTACAAGGGCCAAGGCTATGGCACCACCGGCCACCTCCCCGTCAACCCCAACCAGACTCCCGGCGCCACCGATGCACCTACGCCCTCCGGCGCCGGCGCAACCCCCACTCTAGCCGGTGAGGGCGGCCAATCGTCCTAATTAATTATCCTCTTCCCTTGCTTCCATTCATGTCCATGCTACATTATTGCATTTGTTCGCATTTTTCTTGATGATAAGCTATGTGCCTATGTCTAAAACGTTACGTTTCTTTTTTTTTGTGCCGATGATTTTTGTCTTAGGTTGTTAATTGTTTAATCCACTTATTCATGTATCTATTTATGTATTATCAGAAGCTTGACATTTTTTTTATAATCAAAGTTCATTCTCATGTAACAAATGAATTAAATTAATGCATACACAAATTTTTAGTTAACCATAACAAAAGCTTAATTTGATGAAGATGTTTGTATCGAATTATTTTGTCACATTGCCTTGCCTCCCAAAATTAAATTTCGCAATAGTGATGCTTCATCCAAAATGGCTGATGAACTAATGTACATTGTCCACCACTTCTAATATGCACTTGCTCGCTTCAACATGTCAATTTCGATGACACAATCTAGATTGTTTTGATAATCGTTTCTCTAATTTGAACTTTATGAAATTTGAAAGTTGAGAGTTTTTAAATTGCAATGGGGTGGTGGTTGAATTTGAGATCTCTGTGAATAATTGTGGTTAATTTTGAACCAAAGGATCGTAAATCCGTACTGGAAAAGTCAGTGGTAAAGTATTTTATGTTGAAAATTGTGGTTCAACCGTTTCATACGACTAAACATCTCACTTATCAATTTAACTTCCAGTAAGAGATTTTTCAGATTGAACCGCTGGCACGGTACGATTTTTAATCCTTACTCTGAACACCAATTTTCATATTTAATTTGATTCATCTATATCCAAGAGAGTCCGGTACGAACAAAGGTAGTATATTCAACCTTTACCAGGCATTCGACTTAGACCATGTCATCTATAATTTATTTATGGGGTCATTCGCTTATTGAATTTGAAAAATAAACGATTGTATCATACTCTTACATTTGGCAGGTTAAGGATTATTGTTGGCTTCGGATCATTAGGAATTTGAACATTTTCCGGTTTGGTTATTGGATTTGATGATGAATTTGCATAATTAAATTTATGGATTAAAAATGTGTTGACACCTAAAATTATTTTGGTCTGAATTAAATGTCACATTAATTAGTCTGGGCATTTAATTCGATATCGCGGATGTCGCAACCGCCCCTCCGGATCGGGGGACCTGTCGCGAACTGATCGGAGTCGCCATCGACCTTAAATGTGCAGTGGATCGAACACCTTTTGGTCCGGTCTCGACCTTAAGGTCGAAACCGGAACCTAGTCTGCGAAATTTAGTGTTTATGGGTTCGGGAGTACGGTTACGTGTGGGAAAGTGTATTCACGCCCCCACAACGCCCCAAATGGGTACTACTTAAATCGATAAGTTTTTAAGGGTTGGGTGTATAATAATTTGCGACTTTGTTGATGTATTTAATTGAATTATTTTAATAATTTTATGTTTATTATTATGATTCGATCATACGTATATTGACGTAAATTTCGAAAGAAAGAAAGTGTTTTTGGTTAGTTGGACTCGAACCTATTGGTTGCCTACGTACCCGAGTAGTCGGGATCAAAGTCCACGTAGTTCGGATCAAAACTTTGATGATTTAGCAAGTAATTTTAACCACGTTCCACCGTTCGCGGCTCTTGACTTTGATTCGTTTTAGATGTAATTTTTATCGCTTTCCACTGAAAGTAATTTTCGCACTATAATTTCGTTAATGAAATTTAAGTTTATATCTTCCAAGGATTTTAGTATTTAGGAGGTAATTCGATGTATTGGACAAGAAACGAGATAAACTTAATCCGCATCTTAACATTTCGTATTAAGGATATTAAAAAATAAAATTAAATGGGAGGATTAAATTGACGCATAAAAGGCCAGCAGCCCAACTGGCTGAGATGGTCTTGGGTCAAGTTCTACCCGAGAACGACCCAGAGAAACCAAACCGATCTTCACTCTCTCGTTCACTCTCTCGTTCTCACTTCACTCTCTCGTTCTTTCTCTCTGCCACGAAGAACGACCAGAGAAACCAAACCGATCTGCTCTCTCCCTATCACCCTCTTCCTCCAACTCTCTCTCACGTCATATGGAAACAGAGAAGATAAACCGAAAAAGGGAAACGAACCCTAAGCGAGGCGGGGTTGTGATGCCATTGGAGGCGACGGTAGCGATGGCGTCGGCGGCGAGGAGAGGTTCGCGATGGCCGCGACGCGACGGCGGCGGCGGAGCGAGGGCCGAAATTGCTCAACGCGACGACGGTGTCAAAGGTAAAACCGGCTTCTCTTTTCCTTGCATGCTAGATTTTTAAGGGGATTTTTGATTTTTGGGTAGGTTCTGACATGTTCTGTGTTTTGATTCTCGTCAAGGAGAAGAAGAAATGGAATTCTCCGGATGGCGAGGGCTCCTGGCGACGGTGCGAGGATGAAAAGCCACCGGCCAGGTTCGATTTCGGGGTAAGCTATTTTGATTTCAATACGTTGGTTTTCGTTTTTCGATTTCTGGGTATCACGATTCTAACTCGTTTTTGTGTGATTTGATTTGGATCCGATCGAGGGGAGGCGAAAGGTAGACAAGTGAAGGGAGCCAGCTGCAGAGTGCCTTGTCGGCGACGGGAACTAAAAAAGGCAGAGGCGGTGGATTCAGTTTAAAGTGAGATTTTCTGTGGCTTTTTCTTACTTAGGTTTGTTTGTAATTTTGGGTTTGAAAATTGAGAAATTTTACAATGCTATATAGTATTGGTGCTATAGGTTTTTGCTTTTATTGTACAACTTAAAATAGTACATTTACGTTATGGTATAACTTTAGTATGTACCTATACTTTTTGTGCAAATTCTTTTATGGTACAACTTGAACTTATACATTTATGTGATGGTACAACTTCAAGTTGTAAAGTTGTACCGTAACATAATGGTACAAATTGCTTTATGGTACAACCTAAACTCATACATTTAATGTTATGGTACAACTTTGAGTTGTACATTAAAGCACCAATGCTATATAGCATAGTAGAAGTGCTCTTGAAAATTCTGATTTTTCTATGGTTTGCTAATCTAGAGATTTTCTGGTTGATTTTTTTTGGCTTAAATGGTCAACAAGGAGGAGAGGAAGGGCAGCTGCCACCGACAATCCTGAATACTGCCGGCGGCGAGAACGATGACGACAGGGAGATAGATCCCTTCTTTTGGTAAGTTTTTCGTGGTTTAAGCTATAGGTTGACTAGAGTAGTGAGTTTGTTGATCCTTTTGGTTTTACCTTGATTGAATAATATGGGATGACTGATTCTGGTTAGTTTTGATAAATTGATAGTGTTACGAATCTGGGTTGTGTATCGAGATTCATATGTTATGGTTTATGGCTGAAAATTATTGATGGTTTATGGGTTTAAAACTGAGAACTTATAGTGATTGCTGGGGTTTTAGAGTTAGAGAATAGTACATGCTCAAGGTGATTTCGATCCTGGGAAATCATGTTTTGTGGATTTGGCTTCGAGATTTGGAGGGTTTATGGTTTTTATTAGATTTGTTTTGCGGTAGATAGTTACTTTGGGGTGGTTTAATTTTACATAAGATGGGTGTCCTAACTACCAAGTAAAATACAAAATATAGCAGAGAAAACAGAACTAGCTTTTATTGTAGCTCATGATATTAATTATATAGGCCTGTTTGGATTGGATATACTAATCAAAGCGACTGACACAAAACACAGAAAGGAAACATTTAGCTTTTACTTGTGGATATGCTCAATCATGAAAATATTTTAATAGATATACTGAAATGAATGACAAAAACTGATAGACTAGAAAGGAATATGATGAACTTATAAAGAAAGTAGTAAACTCGATTTGTTGATTTATTTTGCTATCATGGTGAGATTAGCCATTTTGTAATTTGAATGGCGTTGCTTGAGCTTGGAGGTGGGTTTTGGCTTTTGGTAAACTTTAATTATGAGTCGACATGAACTAAACAAATGAATAATCAGTTGTTGGGTTATTTGTTGTTAACCAACCTTTTGCTTGCCCTTTGGTGAAGGCGATGGCTGTTGCCTCTTCCCCTAGCTTTTGGGAGCTTTGCTGGTTGCTACTGCCTTTGGCTGCTGCTTTTTGCTACTTATGACTTTGTGTGTTGTTGTCGTTTGTTTGTCTATGAAGAAGAAGAAACAGGAGTAGGAGCAGTAGCAGCGAAGGGAAGGGGAGGGAAATTTTTGTTGTCTGTATATTGAAGAAGGAGAAAGGAATTCACAGAAAGGAATTCACAGAAGAAAGAAATTGGGAAGTGGAAGAGAAGAGAAGAAGCTCTTTATTTTGTGGGGAGGAAGAAGAAGAACCACAGCAGAAGAAGAAGTTTTTTTATTTTAGAGGAAGGGAAGAGTGTCCGCCCTTCGTAAGAGCCAAGAGGCTCCTTTTTTATAGGAAAAACGACAACTTGTGCGCTAAGTTTTGCTACAGTAGTGGTCTGGATTTGGGTCGGACCAGTTTGGGTTGGGTCCGACCTGAATTGGTTAACTTTTCTTGACTTACATTGACCTTGGGCTTTGACATTATTGACTAAAGTTGACTGATTGGATTGGGAGTTTTGACTTTTGTTGACTGGGTTTGACCCGAGTTGACCAGGGTTTGGGCTGGACTTGGACTTGACTCCAACTGCTCTTTTACGGGAACGGCTACGGTGCTAATTGTACAATAGTTAGCACCGTCCTAACCAAAGGAAAAATTACTAGTTTGAATTAGTAGTGATTTAGCTTAGATGTTGTATTGATTTTATAATAATCCGTAGTGATTTTGCTAGTTATCACGGCAGTTGTGATGTTACTTAAATTTACTAATCGTAATTGTATTTTATGTTTATGGTAATTGTACTTATAAAGTTATAATAATAATTTCTTATTTATGTTTGATTAGCATGATTATTATTGATTTTGTTATCTGTTATTGTTCCAAAACCCAACCTTCATTTAGACCCAACTTCTTAAAAAGATGATCAACTCTTGTCTAGCCAATTTGCACCCATTGAGATTTTCTATTGCTAATCTCATTTAATCTATGCAATCACAACCGAATCACAACCGACTCGAAGCACACTTGAAAATTGTTTAAGATTTGATATTGCTATTCTAAAATAAAAATAAAATTTTATTTAGTTAGGTGTGTTTTACCCGGAAAAAAAGTGGTGTCTACAGTTGCCCCCACATGTATATCTCTTGGTATTTGAGAGGTATACAAAGTTCTTTTTAAGACACCACATTTTGACAATGTTAGGGATGAATCTATTGTTTGGTAAGATGATTCATTCAAATTGTTTGGGGGGAAAACTAGCTAAAGAAGTTGAAAGATGGTATAAGGAATCATTCAAGTTGTCGAGGGTATAATAAATTGAAATAAAAATGCAATCGTAATGTTCGGGGTATTTCGGGCTGAATATTTATTAATGGCAGTATGATAGGGTTGTCCAGGATATAACATGCTAGACATTTGTTAGACAATGCGATCAAATTGTTCAGGGTATGACATCACAAACAATTATTGATGGCGATGCTATAGGGTTGTCCGGGATATGATATGCTAGACATTTTAATAGACAATGCAATCAAATTGTTTGGGGTATGACATGCTAAACATTTACTGATGGCATAACTATGGGATTGTCCGGGATATGACACGCTAGACATTTGAATAGACCATGCAATCACATTGTTCGGGGTATGACATGCTAAACATTTATTGATGGCATAACTTATGTGGTTGTCCGGGATATGACATGCTAGACATTTTTTATGATAATGCACTCAAGTTGTTCGGGGTATGACATGCTGAACATTTATTGATGGCAAAGCTCCGGGATCGTCCCGGATATGACAGGCTAGACAATCAATGCATGGCGACGTTGGTAATGAGTGGGAAATCGTAGGATGAGTATGATTATGTCGTGTACTGAAAGGTAAGTGAAGTGAAGTGTGAGATATAGTATGATTTGGATTTTTATGGTCCCATGGCGGTAGAGCCAGATTTGGGTTCTATCTTGTTCCCCATGGCGGTATAGCCTGACTTGGGGTTTTTGCTTGTAGCCGTATAGGCTGGTTTGGTTTATGTATGGCGATATAGCCTGTGTTGGTTTCTTTGTGTGACTGTATAACTTGCTTTGGTTTTTGCTTGGCGGTATGGTCTGAGTTGGTATTCAGGTATTTTGGAGGTAGGACCTGAGTTGCTATTTAGTTATCTTGGCGGTAGGGCCCGAGTTGGTATTTAGGTAACTTGGTGGTTAGGTCTGATTGGGTGAGCTTCCCGTGGCGGTATAGCCTGATTGATAATGTGTGTCTTGGCGATAAAATTCATGAGGATATGCGAAAGCTTGACTTGATGACGAGTGGCATAGAGTTGTGTGCTTGATATGAAGTGCCGAATCAAGCAAATTGTTGAGTCTAGGTGTATCTTAGGTATGTGTCAAATTTGACTTGTAAATATTATCTAGACGTCGTACGGACGGGAAAATGCAAGATGTTGTATGACGTGATATGACATGATGTAATGTCATGATTCGAAATGTTGTTGAAAGGGTACTTCCTGATTGATATTTACTTTGGCTTTGAATTCCTCGAAACTAGTCATTTACTGAATGATGTCATGTGATAAGTTTGACGCCTATGCATGTATGATGAGATATATGATGATGTCTTGAAAGGTATGCAAAGGCCATGTATGACCATTCGTCGTAGTTTTGATATTTTTCATGGATTCTCTTAAACCGATCATCCTCAAGGAACTACGTCATTCTTTTAGTGAACTTGCTCCTTAGTTGTGCTCGCGCTAGAGCAGCATGGGTGTCTCCGGTAGGTACTTTCTTCCTTCGAGTGTGAGTCATCATCTCGAGGTATTGGGCTTTGCCATATAGTGTTTCCTCTTTGTCTCCTCAATGAGCCCAATGCATGTCATTTTGGGGACTAATAAAAGGTTGGTCCTTTGCTTTCTCCACCTTGGACCTTGGTGCTTGAGTGGCTGATGTGTTAGCCATACAATCTTCTTATTGGTAGGTTGATTTTGTAGGAGGCATTTGTAGCATGGTGGCCTCGGATAACGTGCTCTTTTAGTTTGATTGATATTCTTGCTATGTGAGTATGACATGCTTGGCTAAGAGGAATTTTTCATGTCGGGGGTATTGTCTTGTTGATGTCGGTTTCTAGACATGCTTGATTGATTTCACCAAGAGGTATGAGGTAAAAAAAATATTTAGTTGAAGGATAGTTTGATTGACAGGTTGGGTAGCTGGAACACAATGATTCAAGATCAATGAGATTTCCCGTATAATCATGATTTGAGAGGTTTGGATAACCACTTTTTTCAGTGGCACTATCTTGCCCTTGAGAATATGTTCTTTGCCTTCTGTTCTTCGGAACAAAGTGCAACTTTTACCAATCTTGACTTAAGAAGATTGCAAACAATGTTCGAAAAATCTCATTTTGAAAAGTATAATGGGAACTCAATTTCAGAAACCAAAGCCTTGCTTGAAGAAAATGTATGCAATTTGAACTAAATTGTTTCTTTTGTGGTTATTGCCATCTTGTTTAAAATGTTTTTTTTTAAGTCAAGCCACGAGAATATTCATAAGCTCTCGCTCTCGTTCTCACTTTGAAATCACTCTCCCTCAATCTTATGGGTGCTTTGAGTATACGATACTTCAGCTGCTATCAAGATTCTCGTCACCATGTTGATGGAGAAAATGTGTACAAGGTATAGGCTGGTTGGAAAGAGTTCGAGCGATCTTTGTTTGGTCCCGGGGTGATAGTTCTCAAACTTTCCTGAAAGGTGGCTCTTGCTTTGTATGACTCCTATTGTTAAGACATGGTTCAAAAAGACACGCTTAATCTTACGCTTAGGCACGCCTAGGCGCAAGGCAATGGCAAAACGCCTCTCCTAGGGGTTTCACGCCTAATTAGATACTGGAACACGTCATGGAGTAAGGCGACATATAAGTCTCTCCTGAACATTACTAGATGGAGCTAGTAAGTCAATATTAAAGGCCAAAATTAACATCAACTACGAAATCAATTTTCTATTGCAATATTTTCAATAACTCAAGAACTTTGTGAGCTATTGAGCTATGATTCTATGAATTTGTGAGCTATGTTCTTGTCATTAAGTGTTGAGTAAGTTATTAATCATTTTAACTGAAGTGAGGAAGTGTTGTAGATAATTATTTCACTCATCATGCAGTGCGAATAGCTATTTTTCTTCCAACGCCTAGGCACGCTTAGTCTACGCCTAGGCGAGCTAGGCGCAAGGCAAAGGCTCAACGCCCACCTTACGCCTAGCGCCTTTTTGAACCTTGGTTAAGAGTCCTCATATTATGGAAATTATGCTTTCCTCAAGTGAGGTGGGTAAAGGAAATCCCTGTGACATCTGGGCTTAGTCGTATGAAGCTTTATATTGAGGGGGTTTCGGCTTTCCCCCTAGGTATGAGTCTGGTCAATAGATGATGGGGATCATATTTTCTCGTCGTGAAAAGTTCCACGAGGAGGGATATTACCTTGCCTCAAAGTGTGAGATGGTTGATGGATAGGGGAGATCCTTGTTGAGGAAGTCTCATTTTCCTTGATAATGGTAGTTTATCTTGGGTATATTTGTGGTATATTTTGAATCATGTTGCCCCCATGTCTTTAACTTTTGGTTTTGAGGCGTAAGCTTGCTAGCAAAGTAACTGAAGTTATTTAAGTAACAACTCGGTTATGAAAATCTTCTCATTTGTCGAGTTCTGTGTTTGATCTTGAAATGATGGATAAATAGGGTATTCGTATGATGCAGACTTCTGCTTCTCATATGCTCTCGGACTGGTGAAGGATGAAGACTTTTATGTGGCAGTCATAATTGTCGAGTCTTATTATCATGGGAGGGTTCTTCTTGTTGGCCATGGTGAATAGGCCATTCCTTTTTTTTGAAGAATTCTTTTTTTTTTATATGTGGAGTCTTCCTTTGAACGCTTTTTGCGCTTGAATATCCCACGATTCAGATTTTGGAATGTAGACATTTGGACAACGAGGCTTCTTGTCTTCTTAAAACTTCAACTGATGATGTGAGTTTGTCAAATTGGATCATTCAACCTCCTCAATCTTCTGGCCGTTAGGGCTTTGTGAGAATTTGGCTATTATGATGCCGGCATATCGGTGGTTATGGACCATGATTTGGATAATCAACCTCATTTCTAGTCGAGCCTTAATTTGATAGAGGATATCAGTTATGGTAGTGACAAGCTTCTATAAGCAACCTAGTTTCGTATCCCCGTTACGCCCTTTGACTATTCAGCTCACAATATTTTATTGACACCAGTGGGGTGTTTATACTCTCAAGTTTAGTAAAGCGTGTAGACTCTCAACATTAGTAGAGTGCTCGAATTCTTGACACCTGTAGGGTGTTGATAATCACTCGACACCAGTGGGGTGTATATATTTGCTTAATGTGAAAATCTCATGGCTTAACTTGTAAACATGAAATGTATTTTAAGGATCCCACTTTTAGAGAAGAAAAGTTGATTTTAAAGATTTGGAAGAGATAATCATCTTTTTGAAAAAAAGAATC